CAAGAATGAAATGGCCACTTCCCCCAACTTATTGTGGGAAGCTTGTGGAAGGCTACCCGAAACATTTGATCCAAGTTAAACAATTTAAAGGCAATGCTACCAAATACTAATTGAGTGTATGTACATTTCTGACCCACTGGGAATGTGATGAAATAAATAAAAGCTGAAATAAATAATTCTCTCTACTATTATTCTGACATTTCACATTCTTAAAATAAAGTGGTGATCCTAACTGACCTAAGACAGGGAATTTTTACTAGGATTAAATGTCAGGAATTGTGAAAAACTGAGTTCAAATGTATTTGGCTAAGGTGTATGTAAACTTCCGACTTCAACTGTACATAACTCAGTGTATTCTCAGATGTGGGGACTAAATAATATTGTGTGAATTGTATATGTCTCTGTACTCTGTGCTCACACACATTTGTGTGTTTTTCTGTCTGTGTCCCCCCAGGTGTAGCCTTGCGTCCCTGCTCACTATCGCCCTCCATGGTAAACTGGAGTACTACACCAGCATTATGAAGGATCTGCTGGTGGATCTGATCGATGCCTCGGCCGCCAAGAACCCCAAGCTGATGCTGCGACGCACAGAGTCTGTTGTGGAGAAGATGCTCACCAACTGGATGTCCATCTGCATGTACAGCTACCTCAAGGTGAGGGAGGGTGGGAGGGAGGGAGGGAGGGAGACAAAATTGTGAAAAGAGAGGGAGTGAGACAATAGAACGTAATGTAATGACAATAGAACGAGACTACCCTCAAACATTTTTGTATCCAGTCATGAGTATTCACTGTCCAGTTTGTTGCAGTCTAGGCCTTTACTGACGAACAGTCTCAACGTTTATGTTACGTTATCAACGTGTTACTGTGATGTTTTCTGCAGGAGACAGTGGGCGAGCCATTCTTCCTGCTGCTTTGTGCCATCAGGCAGCAGATCAACAAGGGTTCTATAGACGCCATCACAGGGAAGGCCCGGTACACACTGAACGAGGAGTGGCTGCTCAGAGAGAATGTTGAGGCCAAGCCACAGGTCAGTCACTACACAACAACACAGGTCATATACTGACCACTGATTGGTTCACCTCCTTGTTATGTGCTTGTATCATATGTCTATCGTATGATACAGTTTATAATATCTCAGCTATGTGTAGCTTAATCAATCAACAGGAATAATCAACCAGCTAAATCAATCAACAGGAATAATCAACCAGCTTAATCAATCAACAGGAATAATCAACCAGCTAAATCAATCAACAGGAATAATCAAACAGCTTAATCAATCAACAGGAATAATCAACCATCTGAAGTAAAAGAAGGTGACATTGTGACATTCACTGCCTCTCTCTCTCTGTGTCCAGAACATCAATGTGTCGTTCCAGGGATGTGGTATGGACTCTCTGGTCGTGAAGGTGGTGAACACAGACACCATCTGTCAGGTGAAGGAGAAGATTCTAGAAGCCTTCTATAAGAACCTGCCCTTCTCCCAGTGGCCCCGGGCAGAGGACGTAGACCTGGGTGAGAAAAGTGACTTTTATTTGTCCTTTCTTAGGGAACCAGTCAACTCCCCAATTGTGGAAGTAATGCCATGCAAAAGAGGCTATATGACCAATTATTACTTTGTAGCTCAACTAACATCAAATCAAATTGTATTCATCACATACACAGTTTACAGCAGGTATAAAAGGTGCAGTGAAATACTTATGCGCTAGCTCCCTCAACATTGCAGTACAATATCAATATCAAAAGTCAATCAAAAATGACAAGTAATTACAGTGCCTTGCAAAAGTATTCATCCCCCTTGGTGTTTTAATTCCAGGTTGTAAGGCAACAAAATAGGAAAAATGCCAAGGGGGGTGAATACTTTTGCAAGCCACTGTAGAGGAAGGTGGTAATAACCTGTATTTACAAACATAAAGTGTCTTGGTCATGCAGTTAAATAAATAGTATATAATAGAACAGCATTGTTACGTGTGTGTGTGTGTGTGTGTGTGTGTGTGTGTGTGTGTGTGTGTGTGTGTGTGTGTGTGTGTGTGTGTGTGTGTGTGTGTGTGTGTGTGTGTGTGTGTGTGTGTGTGTGTGTGTGTGTGTGTGAGTCTGTGAGCATGTGTGTACTTGTGGTTGTGTGTTTGTGTGTAAGGGTTGGATGTGTGGAGAGTCAGTGCAATAGTCTCTAAGATGCAGATAGTCTCTGAGGTGAAAATAGTCTCTACGGTGCAGGTCTGTGCAGGGAAACAGCTAAGGTTAGCTGTTCAGCAGTCTGGTGGCCTGGTGGTAGAAGCTGTCTCCGAGACCGAGACCTGATGCTCTGATACCATTTGCCAAATGGTAACAGAGTGAACGGTCCCTGGCTCGGGTGACTGCAGTCCTTGACATGGAGCTAGTACAATAGATGGCTAAATGCATATAAACATTCATTACATTGATTGCCTCTCTCTCCTCCTCTCCTGCAGAGTGGTTTGCTTCTGGTAGTAACAGCAGGATCCTCCAGGACCTGGATAACACCTCTGTGATGGAGGATGGCAGGACAAAACTCAACACAGTCACACATTACCAGGCAAGGCTCTGCTCCCACCACACACACACCATATGCTCTCACCTGTGTGTGTGTGTGTGTGTGCACGTGCGCATGTGCGTGTGTGTGTTTCTGTCACCCCCTGTGTGTGTGTGGTTTTCCCTGACATTGTCACACTCACAGTAAGGCTGAGAGTGAAATAGGTGAGGGTGAGAAGTCACTGTAAATGTTGACATCTTGACTGCCCAAGGGGTACCACATTCTATTTATGTGTGGGTGACTGTGTGCAGTGTGTTTGTCTGTCTGATCATACACATGCAGTGTGTAATTGTCTGTGGGTATCTGTGTGTCTTTGCACTTTCTAGTGTCTTGGTATGTTTGGTATGTGTCAGAGTATTTCAGTGTGCCTGAGTGTATGTGTGTGTGTAAACAGCTGGGCAGTGACCCCTAACCTTTGCCCTGTTACCTGTACTGTTAAGTGCTTCATTTAGTCAGTGCTGGGAAGGCAGCGAGCTGTGAAGGCAATGAGGCACAGCATGTACTAACAGTCTCAGTTCACTGGCAATGCTGTTCAATCCATTTCACTGTGTGTTGACTTTAATGAGCCACCCCCCCCCCCCCCCCCCCCCCCCCCCCCCAGAAAAAAAAAACACATACACACATACAAACACTCAAATTCTCTCTCTCACACACACTCAAACTCTCTCTCTCTCACACACACACACACACACACACACACACACACACACCCTGAGGCAGCGGTTAATGATCCAGTTCTTGTGCCCCACCTCTCTCACCCCTGACCCTGTAACCTCTGACCCCACCCACAGATCCCAGAGGGGGCGTCGTTCGCCATGAGCATGAAAGACAAGAGAGACAACACCCTGGGGAGAGGTAGGTCACACACACACACTCTGTCACCTTGTCACACACTCCTACATGCTTAGAAAAACATACACACTTACTTTATTAAGTTAAAACCACATACACTAATTTCATCTTGAGCACATTAGACACATATACACACACCAAACCACAGACATACATTAATTTCCAGCCACAAACATGCTGTAGCCACATAAACACACTCTCACTTAATCAATCACACACACATACACAATACTCACAAGCATGTACACACACACACTGACACACACAGTCAATTTAGACCTTTCAACAGCATGGTTGATGTTCAGTATCCATAAGCATGAACAGATGATTCCTCTGCTGGGCCGCCAACGTTCCGGTTCAGTTTGAGAGGGTCTGCTAACCTCATCCAGAACAGGACTTCTGTTCTGACAGACCGCTCTGTCCATCCCAATGATTAGGGCCTCTCCTCTCATTCATACTGGGCCAGAGACAGGGTAAAGTAGTCCAAACCGGGCCAGCAGCTCAAAGGCCAGGCCTAATGGGTGTGTAGTCCACCTTGGCTAATGTAAAACACCTTTCCCCCTCTCTGTGATTAGCTAAGAGGGTCTGGACTGGGGCCGGGGCCTAAACCGGCCTGTCTGCCAAGACTAGGCCTGGAGTAATGAGAGCACAGTCACTATTGGGCTGTTTGTTGGCGTGTGTTTGTGTGTGCGTGTGCATGTGTGTAAACCAGGGAGAGAGTGAACCTCTGGCCTGACTATGTGTGAGCATTACAAACTCATTACACTGGCTCCAGCACCAATCACAGACTCTATGTCTGCCTCTCTCTGTTTCTTTTCAGCTTTTCTCTCTCTCATTCTTTCACTCATAATCTTTCTTTTTTTCACTCGCTCTCTAATTACACTCTCTTTGATTTCCAGAAACCTCTGTCTCTCTTCATAAGCTCTTCCTTTTCTCTATCTATTACACGCCCCCTCCTCCGATCTTCTTTCATTCTCTCTCTCTCTCTCTCCTCTCCTTCTCTCATTGTTTTGTTCTTTTCTCTCCCTCTGCAGTGAAAGACTTGGACACAGAGAAATATGTCCATTTGGTAAGTACACACACAAGCACACACACACACACACGGACAGAGAGCTTTCTCATTCACCTCTATTAACCCCATTCCCTCTGTCATCAGCACCATTGGTCTCAGAAAGAGCTCAGTTGAATGCAGACAGACACAGGGATAGCCTGAGCAATAAATCACTAACTACACACTTTCATAAGAGTGTGTGTGAGCGCATGCATGTAGGAAAGCTGGAGCAAGAACAAGACAGCACTAATACCACGTAAGCTATTGAAAAAACTCAGACTCAGATATGATAACTTTCGGTTCGACACAATGAGTTATCTGGCATACATTTCACTGAGAGAATAGCTTTAGTCATTTTTTGTGAGCAGGTTTTTGTTGTTGTAGCACTTCATATTATGGTGTGCTGGCCTGGAGCTTGTTGACAGGCTCAGTAGAGTGAAACCAACAGTTTCTTCTCCACCTCCACACCCCTGTCCTGTAGGAGCATGTTAGACACCTCATACTGGTTTACTCTACTGCAATCAGAGAAACTTCCAAAATGTCCCAACTTGCAGCATTTCATAAAGTGACATCATGTTAGTCAGACCTCATAAATCCCCACTGTAGTTCCTGGGTTGTGTTCAGTACTTAGAAGTGAGTGAAAACATTTTGAAATGGTAGAGGTATTAACTGAAACTTTCATACAAGAACACTTGTTTTCTTTTCATCTCCCTGTCAAATGTTAGTCACACCTCCGTAGTAGATTCCCATTTAGATTTAGGTTAAATCCCCACCATGCTGATTGGATGTTTTTGTACCCTGACCTCTAACCTCTGCCCCTCCAGGTCTTGCCTCATGATGAGCCGTTTGAAAATAAGAAGTCCCACAGACAGAGTCATCGTAAGAAGGTCCTTCCTGAGATCTACCTAACCCGCCTCCTCTCCACCAAGGTAAGCACACAACCCACAGTGTGGTAGCCATCTTGAATGAGCCACAGTCTACAACCAGAACAGTGACAGAAAGCAGTGCCAGCCTCGCCTGGATGCCCATCTGTTACTGCTTCAGCTAGCCAACTGCTTATCATGTCCAATTGTGAGCATACTTAGAGAGATGGAAACCCACACAGATCCACAACTGAGGCTTAAATACATAAATATAAGTTATGTATTAGATCATCATCATGATGCCCAAAAGAGTACGATTGTGATCCTAAACAGTTTGGCATGACAGTCATAATTCAAGTAGTAGACTAAAGCGGAGGCATCATTCCATCATCATAGACAATCAATCCATCATCAGTTCTATTTACAGTGACATCATCCCGGAATTTCAAACAATCCATTTTGATTCCAATTCTGGTTCCGTGTCTGATCCCATCTGTGTTGTGGTTCCGTAGGGAACGCTGCAGAAGTTCCTAGACGACCTGTTCCAGGCCATCCTCAGTATTCCTGCAGAGCGTCCGCCACTGGCCATCAAATACTTCTTTGACTTCCTGGAGGAGCAGGCGGACAAGAGGGGCATCACCGACCCCGACACCCTGCACATCTGGAAGACGAACTGGTAGCTAGGGGAACTAGATACATCTAATCATCTACTCATCAATGTAGCATGATGCAGTACAGTATCCATAATGCAAGATGTTCCTGAAGCTTACATAATGTTGTCTCGTCTCTTTAGTTTACCTCTGCGTTTCTGGGTGAACATCCTGAAGAACCCTCAGTTTGTGTTTGACATTGAAAAGACGGACCACATGGACGCCTGTCTGTCTGTCATCGCCCAGGCCTTCATAGACGCCTGCTCTGTTTCAGACCTGCAGCTGGGCAAGGTGAGACACACACACATTACACAGTGAGGGAAAAAAGTATTTGATCCCCTGCTGATTTTGTACGTTTGCCCACTGACAAAGAAATGATCAGTCTATAATTGTAATGGTAGGTTTATTTGAACAGTGAGAGACAGAATAACAACAAAAAAATCCAGAAAAACGCATGTCAAAAATGTTATAAATTTATTTGCATTTTAATGAGGGAAATAAGTATTTGACCCCCTCTCAATCAGAAAGATTTCTGGCTCTCAGGTGTCTTTTATACAGGTAACGAGCTGAGATTAGGAGCACACTCTTAAAGGGAGTGCTCCTAATCTCAGTTTGTTACCTGTATAAAAGACACCTGTCCACAGAAGCAATCAATCAATCAGATTCCAAACTCTCCACCATGGCCAAGACCAAAGAGCTCTCCAAGGATGTCAGGGACAAGATTGTAGACCTACACAAGGCTGGAATGGGCTACAAGACCATCGCCAAGCAGCTTGGTGAGAAGGTGACAACAGTTGGTGCGATTATTCGCAAATGGAAGAAACACAAAAGAACTGTCAATCTCCCTCGGCCTGGGGCTCCATGCAAGATCTCACCTCGTGGAGTTGCAATGATCATGAGAACGGTGAGGAATCAGCCCAGAACTACACAGGAGGATCTTGTCAATGATCTCAAGGCAGCTGGGACCATAGTCACCAAGAAAACAATTGGTAACACACTACGCTGTGAAGGACTGAAATTCTGCAGCGCCCGCAAGGTCCCCCTGCTCAAGAAAGCACATATACAGGCCCGTCTGAAGTTTGCCAATGAACATCTGAATGATTCAGAGGAGAACTGGGTGAAAGTGTTGTGGTCAGATGAGACCAAAATTTAGCTCTTTGGCATCAACTCAACTCGCCGTGTTTGGAGGAGGAGGAATGCTGCCTATGACCCCAAGAACACCATCCCCACCATCAAACATGGAGGTGGAAACATTATGCTTTGGGGATGTTTTTCTGCTAAGGGGACAGGACAACTTCACCGCATCAAAGGGACGATGGACGGGGCCATGTACCGTCAAATCTTGGGTGAGAACCTCCTTCCCTCAGCCAGGGCATTGAAAATGGGTCGTGGATGGGTATTCCAGCATGACAATGACGCAAAACACACGGCCAAGGCAACAAAGGAGTGGCTCAAGAAGAAGCACATTAAGGTCCTGAAGTGGCCTAGCCAGTCTCCAGACCTTAATCCCATAGAAAATCTGTGGAGGGAGCTGAAGGTTTGAGTTGCCAAACGTCAGCCTTGAAACCTTAATGACTTGGAGAAGATCTGCAAAGAGGAGTGGTACAAAATCCCTCCTGAGATGTGTGCAAACCTGGTGGCCAACTACAAGAAACGTCTGACCTCTGATTGCCAACAAGGGTTTTGCCACCAAGTACTAAGTCATGTTTTGCAGAGGGGTCAAGTATTTATTTACCTTATTAGAATGCAAATCAATTCATAACATTTTTGACATGCGTTTTTCCAAGTCCAAAACTAATTCATGGTAACGCACAGTATTAAACAGAGCCATGATCGCATGGAACTCCCTTCCATCTCCAACTACTCAAGCAAACAGCAAAATTACCTATTGTGTAATTTCACAATAGGAACTGTGAAATGACACACTTGCAGACACACTCTAACACACTCTATCACACTCTGTCACACTCTAACACACACAATCTACACACACATTATTCTTTAGTTGTATTGTTCATATATCGTTGTATAAAAAATTTGTGTGACTGTTCTTGTTTGTCAGTGTATCCGTGTTTTGTTACTTGTCAAGTTTTTGTGTGGACCCCAGATAGAATAGTGGCTGTTTCAGCAAACCAAACATACAGTATACAGAATTTACACCTACACTTAAACACACACGTACACGCACACACACACACACACACACACACACTTTCCCAAAATGACCCTCACTGTCATCACCTATCTCCGCATTCCTCACCAGTCCCTGCCAACCCCCTTCCCCTCCTCTCTCCAGTCAGTCTGTCTACCTCTCTTCATGATATTTCAGCCCAGTCTGCTCAGCCAAGGTCATGGGCACCAGGAATTCACTCTTCAAAGTGTGTGTGTGTGTGTTTCAGTGTCCTCACTCCCCACAAACAGTCTCATCCTTCAGAAGCTGTGACCCCTAGCATACACTCTGCTTCCTGTCTCTTTGACTGACGTCCTCTCCAGAGATACTTTCAAATAATGCTGCTCTTTCAGATGAAACCAAAGCATTCTGATTTATTCCACTTGTTCATTGCCAGAAAGCTATTGCACACACCTCAAACATGTAATATACAGAAACACACACACCATGGCACTGTAAAACATCCAGATGCTCATCCTGTTATTGGGAAGACCTGGTGTCCTCAGCTGTGCTGTCTGTGTATATATGTTTTCTGTTCTTTAGATAGGACAGAAAGGTATTAGACTGTCTGAGTGGAGACAGGTGTTAAGGTGTTGCTAAACTTTTTTCTCTACTTGAGTGGTCAGCATAGGAAGAGCAGGGCAGCAAAGGACTGGATTAACCATTGTGTGTGTGTGTGTTGGTCAGGGGACAGGACAGGTCAGTAAGGGATCTGGATTAGCCGTTGCTCTGCATGGTTGAGAGAAGGCTCGTAAACTGAGCTTTTTCCACAGAAACCTTATCTGGTGGCGGGGGGGGGGGGGGGTTAGGGGTCACAGGGGGTCACCAGGCAGATGGAGGAACCACAGGAAATGACCTTGCGGACAGGAAGAGAGGGATCCCTATCAGGAGGAGGGACAGTGGCTTCCTAGGCGCGATACCACACACACACACACACACACACACACACACACACACACACACACACACACACACACTCGCAAATGCATAGATGTCTGAATGCTCAACCTAATACCTTACAAGTGAACCTTTCTTAGTGATTGAATAATGCTTTCAGTACCATTGTAAATGCTGTCAGTAGCAGATGTAAGTAAAATGATGGATTGTTATGTCTGGCCTGGTTCTCTGTGGCTGTGGATATGGATTGTTATGTCTGGCCTGGTTCTCTATGGCTGTGGACATGGTTTGTTATGTCTGGCCTGGTTCTCTGTGGCTGAGGACATGGTTTGTTATGTCTGGCCTGGTTCTCTGTGGCTGAGGACATGGTTTGTTATGTCTTCCAATTGGCTCATTCATTGCCTCCTCTCCCTTGTAAGTATTCCCCAGGTCTTTGCTGTAAATGAGAATGTGTTCTCAGTCAACTTACTTGGTAAAATAAGGGTAAAATAAATTTACAAAATTGTCTGGCCTGGTTTTCTGTGGATATGGTTTGTTATGTCTGGCCTGGTTGTTTAACTTTCCTATTGTGAGGAGAGGAAACACTGGGCCCTCTTTCATTGTCTCAGCACAGGGAGGTGCTGACCTACCACACGCTGATAACACCAACCACTCGCTGTGACCATGGACCATACACCAACTGTAGATTTTTAGGTATTTTATTAGGATCCCCATTAGCTGTTGCAAAAGCAGCAGCTACTCTTCCTGGGGTCCACACAAAACATGAAACATGACATAATACAGAACATTAATAGACAAGAATAGCTCAAGGCTTGAACTACATCAATTATAAAAAGGCACACGTAGCCAATATATCAATAGATACACACAAATTATCTAGGTCAAATAGGGGAGAGGCGTTGTGCCGTGAGGTGTTGCTTTATAGTTTTTTTCCATGCAATATTGCCTCTATATAATACTGTATGCTTTCTTGTATTTGTGGACTGTGAAAAGACCCCTGCAGGACTTGCTTTTTGGAGTGTGGTGTCAAAAAGGCAGAGTATTTCTTTATTACGGACAGACCTCTTCCCATCTTTACAACCATTGAATCTATATTTTTGACCATGACTGTTTACAATCTAAGGTAACACCAAGTAATTTAGTCTCCTCAACTTTTTCAACAGCCACACCATTCATTACCAGATTCAGCTGAGGTGTATAACTTAGGGAATGTTTTGTACCAAATACAATGCTCTTAGTTTTAGAGATGTTCAGGACCAGTTTATTAAAACAGACTGCAACTCTTTTTTTAAAGGTTTCAGTGACTTCATTAGCTGTGGTTGCTGATGCATATATGGTTGAATCATCAGCATACATGGACACACATGCTTTGTTTAATGCCAGTGGCAGGTCATTGATAAAAATAGAAAAGAGTAGAGGGCCTAGAGAGCTGCCATGCGGTACACCACACTTTACATGTTTGACATTAGAGAAGCTTCCATAGACCAACCACACTATTACCACAGAACATGCTGCCCACAGTCATGTTAACAACTCAATGACCATCGACCACCCTCACCATACACTGGTGCTAGACTGGACCACTGAGCTATAAAAGAACTAGACAGCGTCTAAGATGGTCGACCGTTGTTTTCAATGTATTCTACTCACGTTCGCATACACAGATTCATAGACCGTCTATATCCGGGTTGCATCCGGTTTACTCTGCCCAACTGACAAATGCACTAGCACTCAGTGTGCACAGGGAGCAGCACGAGCAGCGACGAAATCCCAAAACATGACAGACATTGGATGAATATATAATTGTAATAGCTTCGGCTGGATGTTTTGTACTCAAAGGTGATGACTAAATGGTCTTATTAGGAATTTTGAAATCTCACTTCTCTATGAGGCCCTCTATGGGAATAAATTGTCTTTCTGGGCCGGACATCAGTTAAACTGCAGTACCGAAGCAAGTCTGTAGGTGCAGTCGAAAGCGTGCTTCTAGACTGGAACCCTGGCCCCTTGGACTGGACTTCGCACAGTCATACTGAAAACAATCTGACAGCCATACACAGGTAGTGCTTATAAACTATTCACTGACCATACACAGGTGTGGTCAGGAGAGTGGTAAATGTGGTTTGGTTGAGCACTAAAGGAACCAGTTCAATGGAGGTTACTTTGACTAAAGAGGACTTCTTCTCTGGTTTCAGGACTCTCCCACCAACAAGCTGCTGTATGCCAAGGAGATCCCAGAGTACAAGAAGAGGGTACAGTGCTACTACAAACAGATCCATGAGATGGCGCCCTTGAGTGAGCAGGAGATGAACGCCCACTTGGCCGAGGAGTCATGGGTGAGAGAGGGGTGGCAGATCAATAAAATGATGAATTAATTGATTGATAGATGTAATGTGTTAGCCTTGGTGGTGGACTGTCTCTGCATTTAACCATGCTACACCACTGAATCTATATATCTGTCTATTGCTTTTTCATGAAGTTTGACAGATTTATATTGTAACGAAACGCTCACACTGTTTTCCGTTTCACAGAAATACAGAAATGAGTTCAACACCAACCTGGCCTTGACGGAGATCTACAAATACGCCAAGAAATACAGGACCCAGGTAAGATCCCCTATCGCGCCCACGGATGAGCTGTTTGACACTTCTTTAAACTGGCCCTATCTCAGAGATAGATATAGCGAGAAGCATATAGAGGAGAAGAGAGATAGAGAGCTGAGAGAGAGACAGATACGAGAGAGAAAGCGAGAGAGATAGAGAGAGAGAGAGAGAGAGCTAAGAGAGATACTGGAGAGGCCGACGCTCGATCTACTCGATGCTCTCTCGCTCTCTTATCCTCGTCTTTCGACTGCTCGCTCTCTCTCTCTCTCGCTACTGCTATCTGCGTCTCTATCTCTCTCTCTCCTCTCTCTCTCTCTCTCTCTCTCTCTCCTCCTCTCCGCTCTCTCTCTCTCTCTCTCTCTCTCTCTCCTTCTCTTCTAGAGCACCCACTCAGCCCTCCCCTACTCACTAAAGAACCACCCAAAACCCAAAATATCCCTCTATACCCACACCAAATAAACACCCAAACTATTGTCGTGGAAAATGCTCTTAAACCTCCTCAACCAAATACATAGCCAACAGCACAGGGCTTGTGGCATCCTCTTCTCAACTCTCTGCCACCACAACCTTTACCTCATCATCAACCACCCCTATCGGTTAAATGACAGCCCCCATACATACACACACACACTGTTCCGTGGAGTTGTTGAGACACTGATTGTGTGTGTTAATGGAGGGCCCTCATCATAACAGTGTTTAGCTGTTCACTGCCATCTTACTGGACCAGCAGACACTAGGGGTTCAGAGGTTTCCCTGGTACTCTCTATGAATCACCCCTGATTACACATTCTCTCACTCAGCCGTCTCGCAGGGCACACGCTGCCAGTAACACCCACTGAACGCATGACAACTATCAGGCATGAAAGGCAGCGCAGATGTTGGTTTTGTAAATAGTTTGTGAACAGGAAAGGCTTTTGTGGGGGGAGAGGCATGCGTGAAGGCTGAAGAACTGCTGAAGTACTCTCTTTCTCTGTCCTGGCAGGTGGTTGAGTTTCTGTGCTATGCTGTAGAACGCTTGAGGGCTACTGAAAGTAGTCTTTCTCTCTTTCTATTTCTTTCTCTATCTCTCTCTCCAGCTCTCATTCTCTAACTGTTGGTAGATACGTTTTTTTAAGGTTGCTGGCTTGGTTATTGCCTGAATGCTCTCTCTCTCTCTCAGGTGGTGAGTGCTCTGGAGTCCAACCCCACAGCGAAGCGTACTCAACTGCACCACAAGTTTGAGCAGGTCATTGCTCTGGTGGAGGACAACATCTATGAGTGCAGCAGTGAGGCCTGAGTCTCTCTCCACCCAGCCTCCACCCCATACCCCCAGGCTGCCTCCGCCCTACCTGGGGTACAGGATCTAGGAAACCCCCTGTCTGTCTACCCTCCAAATATCCCTTCTGTCTATAGAGTTTATAGAGCCCAAAGACAGAAAGGAACTATTTGCTTTGAGAAATATTTTGCTTTAAGACTGAAGAGATGGCAGCTTGAGCTTTACTTTAACACCTCAACCCAAGACTGCCTCAGAAACCTGATTGAGAGCACTGTACCATGGATTAACCTAAGAAACGTACCTTGGACTGAGCGATTGCTTGAGATACTGAATTGAAACCCACGTCCTTTATATCAAATGCAGAATCTCTGGATTCTGTCTTTGTCTGGGTAAGGGTGTCTGTGTTGACTCTTCCACTCACACTTGGATATCAACCTAATCTGGTATCTTGCCTGTTCACACCTGGCTTGGATCTCACTCTGGGTTCACACTGCTTTTACCTGAAGCATAGTGGAGTTAGAGAGGGAGGCACTGGGAGATGGGCCTTATTCTGGATGATGTCACAGCCTCTGGGACCTGGAGCCCTGGCGGCCATCTTATGCACTGACCCCCCCTTCTGTTGGGGGATGAGCCAATGATGCACTGTACTGTATTATAAATGTCCATAGCAATATTTATAGATCTGTTCTGTTTTCTGAGTGGCCTGTTCAACGATATGTGAATGAGAAACTCTTCCCATCTTCTTACAACCTGCACGGTTCTCAGGTTTGATTGGTGGAAATGGCAAAGAACTCCAACGGTGCTTTGAACTACACGTCTCAATGTGCTTTGCAGGTTGGTGATGGGTTCTGGAGGAGTAGAGAGTATTATTGAGAGGATTTATTTAGGTAATGTTTCATGTGCCACAGACCTGCTCGCAAAGACACTGAACTCTGTTGGATCAGATGTCGTGTAGTTCAATGGGAAGAATTACATGTGATGTCTTTATGTGAAGGCAGGTTGATCTGTGTTGTGACTGAGAATGAAGGTAGATTATGACCAAGAGGGACCTTTATAGTAAAACTATGACCTTCAGTTAATAAAAGAGGGACAACTGTCTGACGTGACTGTACTTGTGATGCCAAAATGACTATTGTCAGAGTTTGAAAATAAATGCTATTACAGAACTATAATACGATATAAAATGTTATGACATTTTTCTTTCGTACCAATATTCAAATTTCTGTTTTCATCAATACCTAGTAAGTCCTATGCAAACTTAGAACGTTTCAGCAAAGTGACTTTTGTAAACCACTGGGCAGCAATGGAGTGTTTTGTTAGTACTATCTTGACTGGTTGTGCATTCCACCCAACAACCCAATGGCCGTCTGGACTTTTTCAGAAACACTAGTACTGGAAATGCTCCTATATGAAAGAAACAGGTCATTTCTATTACAGGATATTTAACAACTTTATTTCCAAGTCACATGTACCATCTTAACCTTTACAGTATTAACAATAGTCATGTCTCCAGAGCTTCACACACAGACACAGACACAGACACACACACGAGCCAAGGGTTAAGAGCTAACCAGCTCAGCCTCATCATGGTAAAGACACAGAAACCAGGGAGAGCTTTCCTCAACAATAATGGAAGGCACAATCTAAACCAATTTAAAAGGTGGTTTTAGAGGGTTTCACTACATGACTAAGGCCTAGATTCAATCAGCTTGAGCGGTAACCAGCGATAGCTGACACCCGCATAACTGGTGTTTTGGCGGTGTCGGAGATGTAACTGATTTAGAGCTGTCAAATCAGAGCGGCTGCTCGTCTGGTCATTGTCACGACGCCACACCCGTCCCACTCACATTAGAAGTTCAGAAAGAGAAAGTGTAGGCTATATAGAAATAATAACACTAAAATTAAATCATTAAACAAAATAATAAGGATTAATTTCGACATAATCGAGGTGTAGATAACAACACACATTCCAGTGTTCAAACTTGTAAGAAGGCTGCATGGGATCATTACTAATGTGACTTGGCGCATCCAATGGCAATGTCCGCAATAAGTATGCCGTCGGGAATCGCTTGCTGATTTGACAGATACAACGCAGTTACACCCTCATCGCCTAAATAAAAACAACGAAACTGCTACTTCTACGGGTCGTAGGTCAGGCAGAGTCGACCTGGCTGGCGGAGATAGAAGAGGCCTGTGTTTTGGAGGAGGCGGTGGAGGTCTCCTCTTCACCGAAGGGGTTCTTCCTGCAACACACCGTGGTCAACATGCAGTTCCTGAACTGGAGAAGGGAGGAGAGACAGACACACACAATATCACTTACACGCAAAGCTAAATACCGTCACACACACACTCTGCCTGGGTTACCCGTCTGTTGAGTAGAATATAGATGACTGGGTTGTAGAGGGCAGCACTCTTGACAAAGAAGGCTGGGATGGTCATTATGACAGGGCCAGCATATCAGGAACGTGATGACCATGGCGATCACCATACGGGTCACTTCCTTCTCTGCCCTCTGAGTGGTCTCTGACTCCTGCTGCAGGGCTGCCATCTGAATGGATGGACACACACACAAAAGTGTTTTGACATGAGCCCTAACTGGAGATGTAGTAGTCCTGTGTATACTGGTCTTCAGTGACAGTGTGTGTGGTCGTACCGTGTGGACGGTACAGAGCAGACGGCCGTAGCAGAAGCCGATGACCAGAGGGATGGAGAAGTGGAGGGTGAACATGTAGATGACGAACAAGGTGTTGCCGAGCTCAGGCTTTGGGGTATAGTAGTCAATTCCACAGGAACACTGCATATCCTCTGGGATGTACCTATACACACACACACACGCAACCGTACACACCTCATATTTTTGTTTTAAAATCTTATATGTATTATACTGAAGTATTGCCCCTGAGATCTACCAGCCATCAGCCCATTTCTTAAAGTAAGACTAGTATTTGGAGGGTGACCTACCTGGACCAGCCACACAATGGAGGCACAGCGCAGGTGAGAGCCATGATCCAGGTGAAGGCCACACCCACAATGGCGTGCCTCTCACTGAAGCAGATGTTGGTCATTGGTTTTTCATACCACGATATAACGCTCAATGGCCAATACCACCAGAGACCAAAGGGCGATTTCCCCTTAGAGACACACAGCAAATCAGAAACACATGCACAGTATTGATGCGCATGTGCAGAAACTATTCAGACAAACTATTCAGAATATATTGGACACAGGCAGAAGACTTAAAAAATAACATATGCTACTGTATTTCTAAAGTACACAGGGTACAGTAAGTGACACAGTGATATTGGCAAATATACTTTTTCATGCATTTATATGATCTCAACCAGCAGCTTGCACCTGTAGCTATGGGAACAGTTGACGTGATAACATCAACGCAAAGCTTCATTTATTCTATAAGGTCTATACATCTGCTGTTATTAAAGACATCTCCCGATCCCCCCCAGTCACAGAAAACAGGTGTAAATGTGGTGCAAAAATGCACATATCATATCTCATAAGGTCCTGGGCTTTATTCAAGTCTTCATTGTCTTCTTTACAATAAAGGTACGCTGAGTGTGCGGGTGCTATTCAAATTATTCTAAATACATGGGTGGTCTTGATATTGGGGGGGGGGGGGGGAAATCTGTGTCACTGTACTTTAAAGTCATTGAACTCATTGAGGTTGCACCTGGAGAAAGCCAGCCAGGCTTTTTTTTTTTTTTGGGGGGGGGGTAGATCAGCTTAATTTTTGTGAAACGTTACTCTTAACCACAGATCTAGGATCAGATTCCCCTAGCCTAATCCTAACCATAACCATTATGGAAAAGAACAATTTCTTACCCTGTGGCTCACAGCAACTTCTACCTACACCCCACCCAAAGGTCCCCCATGTCTTACCTCCCAACTTCTACCTACACCCTAGGGCTCCACCATCACCATGTCTTACCTCCCAACTTCTACCTACACCCTAGGGCTCCACCATCACCATGTCTTACCTCCCAACTTCTACCTACACCCTAGGGCTCCACCATCCCCATGTCTTACCTCCCAACTTCTACCTACACCCTAGGGCTCCACCATCCCCATGTCTTACCTCCCAACTTCTACCTACACCCTAGGGCTCCACCATCCCCATGTCTTACCTCCCAACTTCTACCTACACCCTAGGGCTCCACCATCCCCATGTCTTACCTCCCAACTTCTACCTACACCCTAGGGCTCCACCATCACCATGTCTTACCTCCCAACTTCTACCTACACCCTAGGGCTCCACCATCACCATGTCTTACCTCCCAACTTCTACCTACACCCTAGGGCTCCACCATCCCCATGTCTTACCTCCCAACTTCTACCTACACCCTAGGGCTCCACCATCCCCATGTCTTACCTCCCAACTTCTACCTACACCCTAGGGCTCCACCATCCCCATGTCTTACCTCCCAACTTCTACCTACACCCTAGGGCTCCACCATCCCCATGTCTTACCTCCCAACTTCTACCTACACCCTAGGGCTCCACCATCCCCATGTCTTACCTCCCAACTTCTACCTACACCCTAGGGCTCCACCATCACCATGTCTTACCTCCCAACTTCTACCTACACCCTAGGGCTCCACCATCACCATGTCTTACCTCCCAACTTCTACCTACACCCTAGGGCTCCACCATCCCCATGTCTTACCTCCCAACTTCTACCTACACCCTAGGGCTCCACCATCCCCATGTCTTACCTCCCAACTTCTACCTACACCCTAGGGCTCCACCATCACCATGTCTTACCTCCCAACTTCTACCTACACCCTAGGGCTCCACCATCACCATGTCTTACCTCCCAACTTCTACCTACACCCTAGGGCTCCACCATCCCCATGTCTTACCTCCCAACTTCTACCTACACCCTAGGGCTCCACCATCCCCATGTCTTACCTCCCAACTTCTACCTACACCCTAGGGCTCCACCATCCCCATGTCTTACCTCCCAACTTCTACCTACACCCTAGGGCTCCACCATCACCATGTCTTACCTCCCAACTTCTACCTACACCCTAGGGCTCCACCATCCCCATGTCTTACCTCCCAACTTCTACCTACACCCTAGGACTCCACCATCACCATGTCTTACCTCCCATAATGGCGAAGAATCCTTCAATGTTGCATCCGGTGATGCTCAGGAAGAAGTAGCCCTGTAGGGCCGTGCCGAGGATCACAGTGAAGCCACCCACCACCATGGAGAGTTCAGCGACAGCCAAGTTCAACAGAATGTAGTTCAGGGGGGTCCGTAGCTTCTTGTGCTGCACCGTGACGTAGAGCGTAAGGAAGTTGACGCGGAAGGCTGTGATGATGAGAAAGAGCATGTAGGCAGCGATGAGAGAGTACTTCCAGGGTGCAGCTAGGTAGTACTGAGGGTACTCAAGAGTACTTCCAGGGTGCAGCTAGGTAGTACTGAGGGTACTCAAGAGGAGAGAGTACTTCCAGGATGCAGCTAGATAGTACTGAGGTTACTCAAGAGGAGAGAGTACTTCCAGGGTGCAGCTAGGTAGTACTGAGGGTACTCAAGAGGAGAGAGTACTTCCAGGGTGCAGCTAGGTAGTACTGAGGGTACTCAAGAGGAGAGAGTACTTCCAGGGTGCAGCTAGGTAGTACTGAGGGTACTCAAGAGGAGAGAGTACTTCCAGGGTGCAGCTAGGTTGTACTGAGGGTACTCAAAGGGGCTCTGCACCACCCTGGTCTTGTTAGACATGGGCACGTAGAAGTTTGTGTACGTGTCTCTACAGGAGTGTGTGTCTATGTAAGTGTGTATGTGTCTCTACAGGAGTGTGTGTCTATGTCTCTAAAGGAGTGTGTGTCTCTACAGGAGTGTGTGTCTATGTCTCTACAGGACTGTGTGTCTATGTAAGTGTGTGTGTGTTTCTACAGGAGTGTGTGTCTATGTAAGTGTGTGTGTGTCTCTACAGGAGTGTGTGTCTATGTAAGTGTGTGTGTGTCTCTACAGGAGTGTGTGTCTATGTAAGTGTGTGTGTGTTTCTACAGGAGTGTGTGTCTATGTAAATGTGTGTGTGTCTCTACAGGAGTGTGTGTCTATGTAAGTGTGTGTGTGTCTCTACAGGAGTGTGTGTCTATGTAAGTGTGTGTGTGTCTCTACAGGAGTGTGTGTCTATGTAAATGTGTGTGTGTCTCTACAGGAGTGTGTGTCTATGTAAGTGTGTGTGTGTCTCTACAGGAGTGTGTGTCTCTATCCTCTCTGGTATTTTGAGAGAGGAAAGAGAAAGCACTGTCGCTTCTCCAAGAGAGTTGAGAGGAGCTCTTTCTCTCTGGAGGCCAGGAAGGATGGATGGAGGAGATAGATAGATCCTGGCGACGAGAAGTGGTGTGCGCTGCCCCCCCGAGGCGAACTCAGGCCCTTTTAAGAGCCCCTCTCTTAGGATTAGGGACATGCATGGACCTCAGCATGGTGTCAGCATAGACAGATATAGGTCACACACTAATCCATGAGAAAAACATATAGGGTGAGTATAGTGTGTATATACTCAAAGCCAGTGTTATACTCTGCTGATGTCATCATCACAAGAGCACGTCATAAACAAGTTTGCTGGAGGCTGAGTCAAAGACCAATGCAACTCAGACTTTTTCTCAAAAAGCACATATGACTGGTCAAAAGTAATGCACTGGAGAATAGGATGTCATCAGAGATTTGCATGATCCTAGATGTCAAAAGGCTACTGTAATTTAAAAGAATATTTAATATGCCATTTAGCAGACGCTTTTATCCAAAGCGACTTACAGTCATGCGTGCATACATTTATTTATTTTTTTTTGGTGTGCATGGGTGGTCCCGGGGATCGAACCCACTACCCTGGCGTTACAAGCGCCGTGCTCTACCAGCTGAGCTGTACCAGTCTGCTTATACAGCCTGACGTGTCAAACCTTGTCAGAGAATAATTTAGCAGGATTTATAGAAGAGGGAGTGTAAATGTAATTTCCAGAGTGTTCCAACTCATTTGCAGCAGTGGTAACCTAATCCTTAAGCTTTAAGCACTGAATAATATGGACCTAATTTAGGAGGGGAGCAGAAAACGGTTTCTGTTGCACACATATCCTCTCCCTCTCTCGCACACACGCTTACATAGACACACACTCCTGTAGAAACACACACGCTTACATAGACACACACTCATCAGAAAGATTTTGTCAGGCATATTAATTTTGGTAGCATGGCGCGTAAGCTCACACACAGTAATCCTGTGGTGAGGTGTGGGACAGTAAAAAACCTGGTGTTAGAGCTGTGAAGCTGCCAGACTGCCTGCGGATCGCTGAGAAGAATATCAACACACACACATACAAACACACTCAAACACATTCCTGCACAAAACAGTGGAGAATATTGAAACCTTTCATTAAAAAAAGCTTTCACTTTAATGATATAAAAATAAAATACATTTGACTCTAAAAAAAACATCACATCATGACTATTTACCTAAATAATAATGTGGAATGCTTGAGAGTCAAAGAACACATCACATAACAGCAACAATATATATCAGTGAATTCAAATAAGTGTTTTTAATAAGTTGTTCTAGACAGAAGAGTTAATTCGTAAATCTGTGTGACAGTCCCTGTATAATCTGATCCTGTTAATTCTATAGGGTTGATCGGCTGAAGATGCGCTTTTGTTGCGGACTATAATGATCTTCATAACCCCGTCCCTTAAATAACATACATGAGGGGGCTGCGAGCATACAGTATGGACGGAACATTGCTCTGAAAGAGCAAGAGTGAAACTGAAGATATGAATGAACTGTGAGATGGATGAATTTATTCTAGACCAGTTTGGGAAGGTCAGTTGGGTTCATCGATGGGCCGTCGGCAGTAGGGACAGCAGTTGTGCTGAAGCACAAGCAGCTCATAGTCTTCACTGTGGAACATCTAGAGGAAACACCACCAGAGAAGACAGGAAGCATGGGTCAGAGAACACAGAGCAGAGCCGAGCAGGGATTTTCTAAGGAAGGGAGCAGGGGCCAGCAACACAACATCTAGCACTGCCAATAGCAACATTTTATCTGAATCTGACTCCTGGTAAAGGAAACACTGCAGAAAGTAAAAAGAAGTGAAACATAAAGGCTAGAAGAGAGAGATTATGCCAGAGGGCTATGGAGTGCCAAGGTGTGTGTGTGAGAGGGTACTGTGTAATGTTTTAATGATTAGAATAATTTTTCACCTCCCAAGTACAGCACCTGGGGGTGAGTGTGTGTGTGTGAGATGGGTGAGAGGGGCATGAAGCACAATGCTGTGTGTGTGTGTATTCCATCTATTCAGTACCTGGAAGCAGGAAGGGCACATGGTGATGCTGACATCAGGCAGTAAAGAGCGGTAGTACTCCCACTGCAGGGGTTTGGGCCAGCGCTTGATCAGGACATCCCTCCTGCTCATAGACCTCAGCACGGAGCGACTCACCACCACCGGGACAAAGTCAGAGCCCCCCTGCTGTTAAGGAGATAAACACAGATTCACATATTAGAATATACACATACTGACCCCTTTCATTTATACTCTCCCTTTAGTTTCATCTCCCTCCCTCCTTCTCTCCTCACCTCAAAGCTGAGTTTGGCCATGAAGGGGTCCTCCTCGGTATCTTCTGTGCCGTCATCCAGCTTCAGAGACTGGGACTCTGACACAGTTAAGGAAGCTGCCTCTCTCACACACTCTTCCTTTCATACCCACCCTATCACTTCTGTTTTCATACCCACCCTATCACTTCTGTTTTCATACCCACCCTATCACTTCTGTTTTCATACCCACCCTATCACTTCCGCTTTCATACCCACCCTATCACTTACGCTTTCGTACCCACCCTTTCATTTCAATTTTCGTACCCACCCTATCACTTCCATATTCGTACCCACCCTATCACTTCAATTTCCGTACCCACCCTATCACTTCCAGCAACACCATTTTCGTACCCACCCTATCACTTCCATATTCGTACCCACCCTATCACTTCAATTTTCGTACCCATCCCATCACTACCGCTTTCGTACCCACCCCATCACATCCGCTTTCGTACCCACCCCATCACATCCGCTTTCGTACCCACCCCATCACTTCCGCTTTCGTACCCACACCATCACTTCCGCTTTCGTACCCACCCCATCACTTCCGCTTTCGTACCCACCCCATCACTTCCGCTTTCGTACCCAACCCATCACTTCCGCTTTCGTACCCACCCCATCACTTCCGCTTTCGTACCCACCCCATCACTTCCGCTTTCGTACCCACCCCATCACTTCCGCTTTCGTACCCACCCCATCACTTCTGTTTTCATACCCACCCTATCACTTCTGTTTTCATACCCACCCTATCACTTCTGTTTTCGTACCCACCCTATCACTTCTGTTTTCGTACCCAACCCATCACTTCCGCTTTCGTACCCACCCCATCACTTCCGCTTTCGTACCCACCCCATCACTTCCGCTTTCGTACCCATCCCATCACTTCCGCTTTCGTACCCACCCCATCACTTCCGCTTTCGTACCCACCCCATCACTTCCGCTTTCGTACCCACCCCATCACTTCCGTTTTCGTACCCACCCCATCACTTCCGTTTTCGTACCCACTCCATCACTTCCGCTTTCGTACCCACCCCATCACTTCCGTTTTCATACCCACCCCATCACTTCTGTTTTCATACCCACCCTATCACTTCTGTTTTCATACCCACCCTATTCCTTCTGTTTTCATACCCACCCTATCACTTCTGTTTTCATACCCACCCTATCACTTCTGCTCATCGTTCTCTCCTCTCACACACTCACTATATACATTCGGAAAGTATTCAGACCCCTTTACTTTTTCCACATTTTGTTACGTTACAGCCTTATTCTAACAGGTTTTTAGACATTTTTGTATTATAAATGTATTAAAAATGAAAAAATTAAATATCACATTTACATAAGTATTCAGACCCTTTACTCAGTACTTTGTTGAAGCACCTTTGGCAGCGATTACAGTCTTGAGTCTTCTTGGGTATGACACTACAAGCTTGGCACACCTGTATTTGGAGAGTTTCTCGCATTCTTCTCTGCAGATCCTCTCAAGCTCTGTCGGTTGGATGGGGAGCATCGCTGCACAGCTATTTTCAGGTCTTTCCAGAGATGTTCGATCGAGTTCAAGTCCAGGCTCTGGCTGGGCCACTCAAGGATATTCAGAGACTTGTCCCGAAAGCACTCCTGCGTTGTCTTGGCTGTGTGCTTAGGGTCGTTGTCCTGTTGGAAGGTGAACCTTCGCGCCAGTCTGAGGTCCTGAGTGCTCTGGAGCAGACTTTCATCAAGGATCTCTCTGTACTTTGCTGCGTTTATCTTTTCCTCAATCCTGACTAGTCTCCCAGTCCCTTCCGCTGAAAAACATCCCTGCAGCATGATGCTGCAACCACCATGCTTCACCGTAGGGATGGCGCCTGGTTTACTCCAGACGTGACGCTTGGCATTCAGGCCAAAGAGTTCAATCTTGGTTTCATCAGACCAGAGAATCTCCAAGCGGGCTGTCATGTGCCTTTTACTGAGGAGTGGCTTCCGTCTGGCCACTCAAACCATAAAGGCCTGATTGGTGGAGTGCTGCAGAGATGGTTGTCATTCTGGAAGGTTTCCCATCTCCACAAAGGAACTCTGGAGCTCTGTCAGAGTGACAATCGGGTTCATTCTTCTCTGCAGATCCTCTCAAGCTGCCAGGTTGGATGGGGAGCTTCGCTGCACAGCTACTTTCAGGTCTCTCCAGAGATGTTCGATCGGTTTCAAGTCCGGGCTCTGGCTGGGCCACTCAAGGACATTCAGAGACTTGTCCCGAAACCACTCCTGCGTTGTCTTGGCTGTGTGCTTAGGGTCGTTGTCCTGTTGGAAGGTGAACCTTCGTCCCAGTCTTAGGTCCTGAGCACTCTGGAGCAGGTTTTCATCAAGGATCTCTCTGTACTTTTCTCCGTTCATCTTTCCCTCGATAATGACTAGTCTCCCAGTCCCTGCCGCTGAAAAACATCCACACAGCATGATGCTGCCACCAACATGCTCCACCGTAGGGATGGTGCCATGTTTCCTCCAGACGTGAAGCTTGGCATTCAGGACAAAGAGTTCAATCTTGGTTTCATCAGACAAGAGAATCTTGTTTCTCATGGTCTGAGAGTCCTTTAGGTGCCTCCAAGCGGACTGTCGTGCCTTTTACTGAGGAGTGGCTTCCGTCTGGCCACTCTACCATAAAGGCCTGATTGGTGGAGTGCTGCAGAGATGGTTGTCCTTCTGGAAGGTTATCTCATCTGCACAGAGGAAGTCTGGAGCTCTGTCAGAGTGACCATCAGGTTCTTGGTCACCTCCCTGACCAAGGCCCTTCTCCCCCGATTACTCAGTTTGGCCGGATAGCCAACTCTAGGAAGAGTCTTGGTGGTTCCAAACTTCTTCCATTTAAGAATGATGGAGGACACTGTGTTCTTGGGGACCTTCAATGCTGCAGAAATATTTTGGTACCCTTCCCCAGATCTGTGCCTCGACAAAATCCTGTCTCGGAGCTCTACGGACAATTCCTTCGACCTCATGGCTTGGTTTCCGCTCTAACATGCACTGTCAACTTTGGGGCCTTATATAGACAGGTGTGTGCCTTTCCAAATCATGTCCAATCAATTGAATTTACCACAGGTGGACTCCAATCAAGTTGTAGAAACATCTCAAGGATGATCAATGGAAACAGAATGCATCTGAGCTCATTGCAAAGGGTCAGAATTTTATAAATTTGCTACAATTTCGAAAAACGTGTTTTCGCTTTGTCATTATGGGGTATTGTGTGTAGATTGATGAAAGAAACAAAATATTTAACCCATTTTAGAATAAGCGTGTAGCGTAACAAAATGTGGAAAAGGGGAAGGGGTCTGAATATTTTCCGAATGCACTGTATCCCAGACTCATGCAGTCACTTTATGCAACATCGGGAAAAACAAAGATACTGTAATTCATATGTCAATTTGTAAGTCGCTCTGGATAAGAGCATCTGCTAAATGACGTAAATGTAATGTAAATGTAAAGAGAGCAAGTTACTTTAAAAAAGTAGTTCACTACATCCAAACTACTTTGTGATAAATTATTATATCTAAACAGATCACTCTGCAGTCAGATGTTAACATAATGTGTAATTTAGCCTATTAAACACAAAAACTATGTTTCAAGTGAGAATTAGGCAGGTCTGATGCCAAAGAATAAAGGAAATTGTTGCCTATTTCACCCATATTTTATTTTCACAAAAAAGGTAGTGTGTAATTCCAGTAGTTAGCTACACCATTGCATGGCAAAAACAGTAATTAACTACTGAAAACACTACCACAAAGCTACTGCAATATGTAGTTAAATTACTAGGTGAATAACATGTAGTTCACTACTCCCCAACACTGGCTGTCAGCTAATGCAGGTTACTTCCAGACAGAGAGGTCTCTGAGGTGTTAGTGTCATTCTGACAAGAGAGAAGAGCCACTCTAACCCTATTAACTCTAAGATGACTTAAGCCTGAGCTTAAGGTGCATGGCAGAATCAGAATCAGGGTGAAGCACTGATAAGGACACATACTGTATGTAATGTGTGTATGTATGGAGACGAGCACACAACCTTAACATACAGACTATTTACATTAGGTAAAATGGTCATGAGAAATGTGTACATTTTAGTGGTGTACACTGCATCAGGTAAAGGATACCACCACTGCTCATCTCCTGCCAGCGAGCAGCCTTCCTGTCGATGCAAGGGACCTCCAGGTCAATAAGAGACACAGCCTCCTCATCACCGATACCCTCGTCCAGGTAGAACTGCACCAGAGGAAGGACCTCTACAGTACAGAGATACATTATTAATAACACACCTCGGAACCAAACATCCATTTACAAAGAGACAGGTGTCAACCTACCGTATGAAGATGCTGAATAGATGAAGGGCTGTTTGCAGTTGATACACACACTGCCCTGGCTGCTCAGCAGGGGGTTGTTGGTGGAGCAGCGGTAACACATGGGGATCAGGTCCTGGGTTACACACATTTGTGAAAATACACAAACGTATAAAAAATTAAATAAAAATGTATGCACTCACTAACTGTAAGTCGCTCTGGATAAGAGCGTCTGCTAAATGACTAAAATGTAAAAATGTATAAGATACAAGCTCCACTAGAAAGTTAATATACACAGACACACATGTATACATGCAAACACATACACACCTCATTGTCATGGTATGGTTTGGAGCGGACGGTAAGGCTGCCCAGGTCCATGGACTCCTGGAAGCGAGAGGGAACGTGGAGGTCCTGGAGCTTCTCATAGGCATGTCTGGCTAGTTTAAACGCTCCCAGGGTTCTGCTCTGCTTGGCCAACGCATAAAGAGTGTTCCTGAGACCCATCGTCAAGGGCAACAAGGTGCTACAAGTAGACATTGCCCTTAGCAACAGATCTTGGGTCAGCTTACCCCTTCAAACTACACTACATGATCAAAAGTATGTGGACACCTGCTCGTCGAACATCTTATTCCAAAATCATGGGCATTAATATGGAGTTGGTCCCCCCTCTGCTGCTATAACAGCCTCCACTCTTCTGGGAAGGCTTTCCATTAGATGTTGGAACATTCCTGAGGGAACTTGCTTCCATTCAGCCACAAGAGCATTAGTGAGGTCGGGCAATGATGTTTGGCGATTAGGCCTGGCTCGCAGTCGGCGTTCCAATTCAACCCACAGGAGTTTGATGGGGTTGAGGTCAGGGCTCTGTGCAGGCCAGTCAAGTTCTTCCACACCGATCTCGACAAAATATTTCTGTATGGACCTCGCTTTGTGCATGGGGGCATTGTCATGCTGAAACAGGACAGGGCCTTCTCCAAACTGTTGCCACAAAGTTGGAAGCTCAGAATCGTCTAGAATGTAATTCTATGCTGTAGCGTTAAGATTTCCCTTCACTGGAACTAAGGGGCCTAGCCCGAACCTTGAAAAACAGCCCCAGACCATTATTCCTCCTCCACCAAACTTTACAGTTGGCACTATGCATTCGGGCAGGTAGAGTTCTCCTGGCATCCGCCAAATCCAGATTTGTCCATCGGACTGCCAGTTGGTGAAGAGTGATTCATTACTCCAGAGAACGCGTTTCCACTGCTCCAGAGTCCATTGGCGGCGAGCTTTACACCACTCCAACCGACGCTTGGCATTGCACATGGTGATCTTAGGCTTGTGTGCAGCTGCTCGGCCATGGAAACCCACTTCATGAAGCTCCCGACTAACAGTTACTGTGCTGACATTCCTTCCAGAGGCAGTTTGGAACTCGGTAGTGAGTGTTGCAACATGGGGAACTCCTTCAAGACTGTTGGAAAAGCATTCCAGGTGAAGCTGGTTGAGACAATGTCAAGAGTGTGCAAAGCTGTCATCAAGGCAAAGGGTGGCTATTTGAAGAATCTCAAATATAAAATATATTTTGATTTGTTTAACACTTTTTTGGTTACTACACGATTCCATATGTGTTATTTCATAGTTTTGATGTATTCACTATTATTCTACAATGTAGAAAATAGTACAAATAAAGAAAAACCCTTGTAGGTGTGTCCAAACTTTTGACTGGTAGTGTATAGTGTATTAGGGTAGGAAATGCCAAACTGAACTTAGTGCCTAATGGAAACTTCTTCCAACTCCAGAACAGGAACTCTAGATCGGAGACAGGACTGGGCACACAATTGACAGTACACACACTCATCAGAGCTGTGTATGTATGCTAAACATAGCCACTGCCAGCAACCACAAGTGCCATTCTCTCTGTTTGGCTCTGTGATGGGTGCACGGATCCTCTCTAAAATAACTACCTTGGCTTTTTGTTTAAAAATTAGAGGAATGTATACTTGTGTGTAAGTGTTTGTGTATTCATCCTTGGGTGTGTGTGTTTGAGCAGAGGAAATTGCTCCCTGTTTGTATTTGTATGGATTGAGATTGTTGTGCACTGAGGAGCCCTCGGAGAAAGGCAACACCAGGTCAATGACTTGCAGCTGCAGAAGCCCTGTAACTGGGATTCCTCCACTAGCTCCAACAGCTCTCATCTCCTCTTCTCCAGTCCCAGTATAGGGATTGTTAAAAACTCATCTACTGTTTTATGTGTTGTATGTGGTGCTTTCCGTGACATTGTGCCGTATTATTCAGACCAGAGCCAGCTAAGACCATAAATCCTGGTTCAAAGTTTTCCGAGCGGCACCGTGTGGCCGGAGAGGAGAGGATTCCAGCTGCAGAGCCCTATTTCCTTCTGGAAGCCTGGGATTTCCTTCCCCATGCTCCTACCCCTTTCTGTGTGTGTGTGTGTGTGTGTGTATGTGTGTGGTAATCAGTGGGTTTGTTTTGGTTAATGAAGATGTGCCTCTTCCTGGCGTCTTCTCTTCTCTTCTCTTCCTGCCCATCTCCCTTCTCCTTCACGTGGCCGTGCTGGTCTGTTTCCTCTACCCTGTTTGTTCCCTGGCACCAACTTTCTCTCTCTTCTTCTTCTCTTTTTACTTAACGTTCTCTCTACCTCACCAGGTAATCAGCCTGTGAACTCTATGAACATTTACAGTTGAAAGTTTACATACACTTAGGTTGGAGTCATTAAAACTTGTTTTTCAACCACTCCACACATTTCTTGTTAACAAACTATAGCTTTGGCAAGTCGGTTAGGACATCTACTTTGTGCATGACACAAGTAATTTTTCCAACAATTGTTTACAGACAGATTATGTCACTTATAATTCACTGTATCACAATTCCAGTGGGTCAGAAGTGTACATACACTAAGTTGACTGTGCCTTTAAACAGCTTGGAAAATTCCAGAAAATGATGTCATGGCTTTAGAAGCTTCTGATAGGCTAATTGATATCATTTGAGTCAATTGGAGGTGTACCTGTGGATGTATTTCAAGGCCTACCTTCAAACTCAGTGCCTCTTTGCTTGACATCATGGGAAAATCAAAAGAAATCAGCCAAGACCTCAAAAAAAATAAACGCAGCCGTCATACCGCTCAGGAAGGAGACGCGTTCTGTCTCCTAGAGATGAACGTACTTTGGTGCGAAAAGTGCAAATCAATCCCAGAACAACAGCAAAGGACCTTGTGAAGATGCTGGAGGAAACAGGTACAAAAGTATCTATATCCACAGTAAAACGAGTCCTATATCGAACGTAACCTGAAACCATTCCAACCGTGAAGCACGGGGGTGGCAGCATCATGCTGTGGGGGTGCTTTGCTGCAGGAGGGACTGGTGCACTTCACAAAAATAGATGGCATCATGAGGAAGGAAAATTATGTGGATATATTGAAGCAACATCTCAAGACATCAGTCAGGAAGTTAAAGCTTGGTCGCAAATGGGTTTTACAAATGGACAATGAACCCAAGCACACTTCCAAAGTTGTGGTAAAATGGCTTAAGGACAACAAAGTCAAGGTATTGGAGTGGCCATCACAAAGCCCTGACCTCAATCCTATAGAAAATGTGTGGGGAGAACTGAAAAAGCGTGTGCGAGCAAGGAGGCCTACAAACCTGACTCAGTTACACCAGCTCTGTCAGGAGGAATGGGCCAAAATTCACCCAACTTATTGTGGGAAGCTTGTGGAAGGCTACCCGAAACGTTTAAATTGTTTAACTTGGGTCAAAGGCAATGCTACCAAATACTAATTGAGTGTATGTAAACTTCTGACCCACTGGGAATGTGATGAAATAAATAAAATCTGAAATAAATCATTCTCTCTACTGTTATTCTGACATTTCACATTCTTAAAATAAAGTGGTGATCCTAACTGACCTAAGACAGGGAATTTTTACTAGGATTAAATGTCAGGAATTGTGAAAAACTGAGTTCAAATGTATTTGGCTAAGGTGTATGTAAACTTCCGACTTCAACTGTAAGGTGACATTGGACACATGGATTTGAGCATACTGCTTCAGACCTTTATCACAAGTCCTACAAACTGTAGGATTACTTTTAACATTGGAAGGATACACTTTGGAGATGCCCAGTGGTACGTCCTTGGTGAGGTTGTGCAGGAGGTACCTGGAGATGTTAAAGAGCGTCTCAGGCATATGGGAGCTAAAGGGTTCATCCTGGAGAAAGAGAAAAAGAGAGAGAGGAGGGAAAGGTAGCAGGAAGGGGGAAGAGGGGAGGCCGAGAAAGAGGGCACATAACATCAATCAGATACACACAGCTTTGGGCACCTCTGTAAGAGTCTCAGAGGCACAATGATCCTGTGTCTGTCCCTCCCTCTCTTCTCCTCTCTTCTTCTCTCTCTTCTTCTCTCTCCTGCCTTAAACACTAGTCTGAAGATGAAGGATAGCCTGAGCTGTGCCACAGACTCCCTTTGCAGCACAGAGCACTGCTCTCACTGGGGCTAGGTTCAGAGGCAGGGAGTGGTCATTAGACTACAGCACCAGCTAGCTCCCACAGTGTTTGATGGCTCAGCACAGCCCGGTGCCTGAGAGAGTTAAAGTGAGGTATATAAGGTTCCTGCTCTGGACTCAATCACAGGGATTCCTCACTTCAGGGGTGTGACCAGTACTGTAAAAACAAACAAAGCACACAGACAAAGGCCAGGGGTACTGCTGCCACAGCATACCAGCCTAAAGAGACAGAGTGCTTATAACCAGGCATAGCTTGTTTATAACCAGGCACTGGCAAGGGGGGGCGGGGGGCTGCTGGTGGGAGGGGTTATCATGATTAATGATCAACCAATTAACTGGTTACTATAGAAACAGAGGTCATAGTGGGTTCAGAGAGTTGACCGTGGTAGTTAACATGAGTAGGGTTGTAGCTATGGTCAGTTGGGATGTTGTTGACAGAATCTGCAGGAAAGTTCTCTAATTGATAGCTTTGCTCTGTATATCTAATGTAGTTATGCTTTGTAGCAGTATCTAGCTGAATTTGAACAGATTCCAGAAGCATTTCATATTTAAACTAAGGGACTGAAGGGATTTTTTGCAGTCTACCTTTCTCAACTCTCTCAACCCTGCCTATTCTTAACTCCTTTACTTTTCTGAACTCAACCTTAACTTAGTCTTAACTATACTTACTTGGCTCTACTCTGTCCCTACCTTCAGCTGTGGTGAGCATCTTACTGTGTAACGCTGTATTGAGTGGTAAACATGGTAGAGCTCAGCCAGGTGCTGGAAACGCTTGAACTTCTTCAGCATCTCCTCCTTCCTCTCCTCGTTTTCTGTTACACACACACACACGCACCCCCCCACACACACACACGCACCCCCCCACACACACACACGCACCCCCCCACACACATACACGCACCCCCCCACACACATACACGCACCCCCCCACACACATACACGCACCCCCCCCCCCCCCCACACACACGCACCCCCCCACACACATACACGCACCCCCCCACACACATACACGCATACACACACGCGCATACACGCACCAAAATAAAAATGTATCAGTAACAGTACACATTCAGTAGTGATAGTAGTAAGAGGTATATTGGTGTCGGTAGACTCCCTTACCCCTAGCGATGTCCAGACACTGCATAGAGAGCATCCAGTAATAATATGCTGCGTCATTGAACCTGCTCTCCACCACGGCATTGTGGGTAAGCTGTTCCAACACCTTCACAGCCTCACTCTGTCGGCCCGCCTTGTGGAACGCTGTGAGGGGAGGAGAGAAGGGAGGGAAGAGACTTCATTGTAGCAATGGAGGGGGAACAGCAAGCTAGAGCGGCACTTAACACTGCTTCGATTGCATCGACAGAGATAAGCATGTCTAAGAAATCTCCCGGAGTTTCAGCCTTATAGGAGCTGACCCCTTTCCCATTACACCCTTTTCATTCTCAGGCTGCCAGAGTTTAACAATATCTCACACACACACACACACACACACACACACACACACACACACACACACACACACACACACACACACACACACACACACACACACACACACACACACACACACACACACACACACACACACACACACACACACACACACACACACACACACACACACACACACACACACACACACACACACACACACACACACACACACACACACACACACACTACACGCCAGGGGCAATTTGTACTTAACGCATACGAGACAATGTTTTCCTCATTTTTCACTAGTAACCACAAACAGATATCTTCTAAAACGAACCCACTCCCAAATGTCAAACAGCATGGCACTTAGAAAGCACAGCACCAATAAACATGTGGTCATTTCCATGTAAAAGGACCCATGAGCACCAACATGTGACGTTCATAGGAGCATGCCAAATTGGGTGTCAAATGAAAATTACGAGTCTATTTTTGAGAAATGAAGGCATATATAAACGTTTTAACCATTTTCCACCCAAAAAATGTGTAATTAGCAAAGGCTTTGATTTCTTGTCAAACAGATGGAAAAGGGGTCTAATAAAACATCTACCAGAAAACATCTTAAAAGGTATTAGAAATAAATCAAAACACAATAATGTTGAAGTAAAGACACCTGCTAACTAATATCAACACTTTTTTTCACCTTCTGTAAGTTTAAGAAACATTGCCTTGTTACCCCACTTAAAGATAATGAAAGTTCACAGAAGTAACAAGTAAAGGTACACCTACCAATTAGTTAGTGTTGTTACTGATATCAATTTTGTTTATGAATTATTAAGTGATTAAAACTTGAAATTCTTTTACGAAATCGGTAAGAGAGAAAAAAATATAAATTGGTAACGGAATTTCTGCAATTGAATTGGCTACAATGGGAAATTATAGTCGTCACAAACCAGTTGGGTCACCTGCTACTGTCCTCCCTTCCACTGACATACTGTTATGTTCAGCTCATAACTGTTTTCTTTCTCTTTCTGTCATCTGGTGGTCACAGCTAAAAGTCTGGACAACCTCTACCTCACTCTTCAATTAAATGTCACCTCTCCCGGCTTTTACTGACCACATTTACATGCACACCAATATCCCATTATTATCCAGGATACTCAAGTATTCTGTTTTTGAGTTGACGCATATAAACATAATATCCCGTTTACAAGAACCCGAATCAGGTCCTATCCCGGTTTTGAAAAACCTGAATAAGATGCCTGGGATATGCGACTCTTAGATGGGATACTGTGGCATGTAAACATCTTATTCCGTTTACTGTTGTTTTTGCAGTCTGCGCAGGCACAGTTTTGTATAGTATCACCTTTGAAGTTCAGATGGGAACAGTAATAGCTGGAATAGTAACTGAAGTCAAGTCTGGATACTGACTGTAGGCCTCACATGTACTATAGGCTTTTATAATATTAACTCCTGCAGAATTACACTACCATTCAAAAGTTTGGGGTCACTTAGAAATGTCCTTGATTTTGAAAGAAAAGCAATTTTTTTGTCCATTAAAATAACATCAAATTGATCAGAAATACAGTGTAGACATTGTTAATGTTGTAAATGGCTATTGTAGCTGGAAACACCTGATTTTTTATGGAATATCTACATAGGCGTACAGAGGCCCATTATCAGCAACCATCAGTCCTGTGTTCCAATGGCACGTTGTGTTTGCTAATCCAAGTTTATCATTTTAAAAGGCTAATTGATCATTAGAAAACCATTTCGCAATCATGTTAGCACAGCTGAAAACTGTTGTGCTGATTAAAGAAGCAATAAAACTGGCCTTCTTGAGACTAGTTGAGTATCTGGAGCATCAGCAATTATGGATTCGATTACAGGCTCAAAATGGCCAGAAACAAATAACTTTCTTCTGAAACTCGTCAGTCAATTCTTGTTCTGAGAAATGATGGCTATTCCATGCGAGAAATTGCCAAGAAACTGAAGATCTCGTACAACGCTGTGTACTACTCCCTTCACAGAACAGCGCAAACTGTCTCTAACCAGAATAGAAAGAGGAGTGGGAGGCCCCGGTGCACAACAGAGCAAGAGGACAAATATATTAGAGTGTCTAGTTTGCGAAACAGACGCCTCACAGGTCCTCAACTGGCAGCTTCATTAAATAGTCCCCGCAAAACACCAGTCTCAACGTCAACAGTGAAGAGGTGACTCCGGGATGCTGACCTTCTAGGCAGAGTTGCAAAGAAAAAGCCATATCTCTGACTGGCCAATAAAAATAAAAGATTAAGATGGGCAAAAGAACACAGACACTGGACAGAGGAAGATTGGAAAAAAGTGTTATGGACAGACAAATCGAAGTTTGAGGTGTTCGGATCACAAAGAAGAACATTTGTGAGACGCAGACCAAATGAAAAGATGCTGGAGGAGTGCTTGATTCCATCTGTCAAGCATGGTGGAGGCAATGTGATGGTCTGGGGGTGCTTTGGTGGTGGTTAAGTGGGAGATTTGTACAGGGTAAAAGGGATCTTGAAGAAGGAAGGCTATCACTCCATTTTGCAACGCCATGCCATACCCTGTGGACGGCGCTTGATTGGAGCCAATTTCCTCCTACAACAGGACAATGATCCAAAGCACAGCTCCAAACTATGCAATAACTATTTAGGGAAGAAGCAGTCAGCTGGTATTCTGTCTATAATGGAGTGGCCAGCACAGTCACCGGATCTCAACCCTATTGAGCTGTTGTGGGAGCAGCTTGACAAGTCAATCCAACTTGTGGGAGGTCCTTCAGGAAGCATGGGGTGAAATCTCTTCAGATTACCTCAACAAATTGACAACTAGAATGCCAAAGGTCTGCAAGGCTGTAATTGCTGCAAATGGAAGATTCTTTGACGAAAGCAGTTTGAAGGACACAATTATTATTTCAATTAAAAATCATTATTTCTAACCTTGTCAATGACTACATTTCCTATTAATTTTGCTGGATATCAAAAGGTGAATGCAAACAGCTTATCCTAAATAAGACATAAACCGGGATATGAGCTATTTTCCGGAATACGGTGCGCACGTAAACCTACCCATGAGCCCCCTCTCTTTCTATTTACTGTAACCAGCATCCTCACCCATTGAGCACCGGCCGACACCGGACGTGCTCAGATGTAGTTTTTTGGACCAAATCTGAACCAATCATAGACGTCTATGTTTCACAGGTTTGGACAACACAGTACAGTACAGTAAGGCACAGTAGAGTACAGTAAAGAAAAGTACAGTAGAGCTTAGTACAGTACACAGTAGAACACACTAAAGAGTTGAATACACTATAATGTACTGCACTGAACTATACTCTACTTTACTGTACTGAACTATACTTGACTATATTGTAATCTACTGTTCTGTGCTGTATTGTACTCTACTGTACTCTACTGTGCTGTACTTTGATGTCCAAACTTGTTAAACATAGACGTCTATGATTGGCTCAGATTTGGTCCGGTCCAACCCAACAAAATGTGGTCTTGTTTGGTGGCAGAGCTCATTAAAATAATAGCCAGTGTGTAGAATAATACCCAAATATGCAAAGGAGGATATTGCATATTTCTACCTTTATGTACCTATTTAGGATACATCACCATGAAGAGAATGACATTCAAATTATGAAATTCTGTTACTGGGTGTAAATCCACTTCACTTACAATAACCAAAATAGATTTTTATTCAACTCATGGTGTCATGTCATAGCTGACACCCCATTCTTTCTGCAGACATCTTTGAATCTTAATTCGGAGCAGATATTTAACAGAGTTTTGGGAAAACGAGGTCAAATAAAAAACTGAGGGAGATTTTACAGAAATTATTTTATCAAACTTTGCATTATTATAAAATGTTCAGTGTAAATTGTTAAAAGTAGTCCTTGCGCATAGAGTTGTATGGGTTGTTAAGCTTTGAAATTAATGTTTTATTTACATACATTTTAAAGGGATACTTCGGGATTTTGGCAATGAGGCCCTTTATCTACTTCCCCAGAGTCAGATGAACTCGTGGATACCATTTTATGTGCTAGCAGATACCCATAGACTTCCAGTCATTGTGCTAATGCTAGTTAGCATTGGCTCACGAACCCACCTCTAACTTCCTTCATACTGGACACAGAGACATAAAATGGTATCCACGAGTTCATCTGACTCTGGGGAAATAGATAAAGGGCCTCATTGCCAAAATCCCAAAGTATCCCTTTAATTTAATTGCCCATCTGTCCTATTCTTCATGTTGCTATCTCTCGCTAATTAAAGACAGCTCCAGGGAGGCAGCCCTGTCTATCCTGCTTGTACAGGGCGTCAGGACATATTAGTGGTGAATATTTATCAGTGCAGCCAGGCAGATAAAACGCAGTCAAGTGCTGCTGGTTAGTGTAAGGACACACACATACAGCTAGACACACACACACACAACACAAACCACATACACTCCCCCAAACACACTCTATGCTAAAGATGATTAACATGAGCTGTGGTCTGGGCCCACATACAGTGCCTTGCAAAAGTATTCATCCCCCTTGGTGTTTTTCCTATTTTGTTGCATTACAACCTGTAATTTAAATGGATTTTTATTTGGATGTAATGTAATGGACATACACAAAATAGTCCAAATTGGTGAAGTGAAATGGAGAAAAAAAACTTATTTCCAGAAATTCTAAAAAATAAATAATGGAAAAGTGGTACGTGCATATGTATTACCTTCAGAAGTCACATAATTAGTTAAATAAAGTCCACCTGTGTGCAATCTAAGTGTCACATGATCTGTCACATGATCTCAGTATATATATACAGTGGGGAGAACAAGTATTTGATACACTGCCGATTTTGCAGGTTTTCCTACTTACAAAGCATGTAGAGGTCTGTAATTTTTATCATAGGTACACTTCAACTGTGAGAGACGGAATCTAAAACAAAAATCCAGAAAATCACATTGTATGATTTTTAAGTAATTAATTTGCATTTTATTGCATGACATAAGTATTTGATCACTTACCAACCAGTAAGAATTCCGGCTCTCACAGATCTGTTAGTTTTTCTTTAAGAAGCCCTCCTGTTCTCCACTCATTACCTGTATTAACTGCACCTGTTTGAACTCGTTACCTGTATAAAAGACACCTGTCCACACACTCAATCAAACAGACTCCAACCTCTCCACAATAGCCAAGACCAGAGAGCTATGTAAGGACATCAGGGATAAAATTGTAGACCTGCACAAGGCTGGGATGGGCTACAGGACAATAGGCAAGCAGCTTGGTGAGAAGGCAACAACTGTTGGCGCAATTATTAGAAAATGGAAGAAGTTCAAGATGACGGTCAATCACCCTCGGTCTGGGGCTCCATGCAAGATCTCACCTCGTGGGGCATCAATGATCATGAGGAAGGTGAAGGATCAGCCCAGAACTACACAGCAGGACCTGGTCAATGACCTGAAGAGAGCTGGGACCACAGTCTCAAAGAAAACCATTAGTAACACACTACGCCGTCATGGATTAAAATCCTGCAGTGCACGCAAGGTCCCCCTGCTCAAGCCAGCGCATGTCCAGGCCCGTCTGAAGTTTGCCAATGACCATCTGGATGATCCAGAGGAGGAATGGGAGATGGTCATGTGGTCTGATGAAACAAAAATAGAGCTTTTTGGTCTAAACTCCACTCGCCGTGTTTGGAGGGAGAAGAAGGATGAGTACAACTCCAAGAACACCATCCCAACCGTGAAGAATGGAGGTGGAAACATCATTCTTTGGGGATGCTTTTCTGCAAAGGGGACAGGACGACTGCACCGTATTGAGGGGAGGATGGATGGGGCCATGTATCGCGAGATCTTGGCCAACAACCTCCTTCCCTCAGTAAGAGCATTGAAGATGGGTCGTGGCTGGGTCTTCCAGCATGACAACAACCCGAAACACACAGCCAGGGCAACTAAGGAGTGGCTCCGTAAGAAGCATCTCAAGGTCCTGGAGTGGCCTAGCCAGTCTCCAGACCTGAACCCAATAGAAAATATTTGGAGGGGAGCTGAAAGTCTGTATTGCCCAGCGACAGCCCCAAAACCTGAAGGATCTGGAGAAGGTCTGTATGGAGGAGTGGGCCAAAATCCCTGCTGCAGTGTGTGCAAACCTGGTCAAGACCTACAGGAAACGTATGATCTCTGTAATTGCAAACAAAGGTTTCTGTACCAAATATTAAGTTCTGCTTTTCTGATGTATCAAATACTTATGTCATGCAATAAAATGCAAATTAATTACTTAAAAATCATACAATGTGATTTTCTGGATTTTTGTTTTAGATTCCGTCTCTCACAGTTGAAGTGTACCTATGATAAAAATTACAGACCTCTACATGCTTTGTAGGTAGGAAAACCTGCAAAATCGGCAGTGTATCAAATACTTGTTCTCTCCACTGTATGTATATATATATATATATATATATATATATATATATATATACACACACACACACACACACACACACCTGTTCTGAAAGGCCCCAGAGTCTGCAACACCACTAAGCAAGGGGCACCACCAAGCAAGCGGCATCATGAAGACCAAGGAGCTCTCCAAACAGGTCAGTGTTACGTGAATTATTTAACAAACTATTTCAGTGTCTCTGTGCATCTCCCAAAAGGTTGTAAGTCTTTTGGGATTTAAGTAACGGACAGAGTCCAGGTCTGCATAGTCAGAGATTTATTCATTGAGAATTCTGCCATCACAATTTCAGAGTCCATCTTTTATACTCATACGTCATACAAACATCCTCCCTAAATTGGGAGGCCCCTTTATCTTGGTTTAGACAGTTCTCCTTTGTTGTCTGGTCTAACTCTTACTCACATTGCTAAATAGTAGCTCAATGCCATAGTCTTTACTGGTCCTACACTCACACATTTCTAACACATTTCACACAGTTTCAGGGTGTAATAATTAGTCATTAATAATTAATCTATCAGTCAGGGACAAAGTTGTGGAGAAGTACAGATCAGGGTTGGGTTATAAGAAAATATCTGAAACTTTGAACATCCCACGGAGCACCATTAAATCCATTATTTAAAAATTGAAAGAATATGGCACCACAACAAACCTGCCAAGAGAGGGCCGCCCACCAAAACTCACAGACCAGGCAAGGAGGGCATTAATCAGAGAGGCAACAAAGAGATCAAAGATAACCCTGAAGGAGCTGCAAAGCTCCACAGCGGAGATTGGAGTATCTGTCCATAGGACCACTTTAAGCCGTACACTCCACAGAGCTGGGCTTTACGGAACATATGGAAGAAGGTACTCTGGTCAGATGAGACTAAAATATAGTTTTTTGGCCATCAAGGAAAACGCTACGTCTGGCGCAAACCCAACACCTCTCATCACCCCGAGAACACCATCCTGGTGGCAGCATCATGCTGTGGGGATGTTTTTCATCGGCAGGGACTGGGGAAACTGGTCAGAATTGAAGGAATGATGGATGACGCTAAATACAGGGAAATTCTTGAGGGAAACCTGTTTCAGTGTTCCAGAGATTTGAGACTGGGACAGAGGTTCACCTTCCAGCAGGACAATGACCCTAAGCATACTGCTAAAGCAACACTCAAGTGGTTTAAGGGGAAACATTTAAATGTCTTGGAATGGCCTAGTCAAAGCCCAGACCTCAATCCAATTGAGAATCTGAGGTATGACTTAAAGATTGCTGTACACCAGCGGAACCCATCCAACTTGAAGAATGGGCAAAACTTCCAGTGGCTAGATGTGCCAAGCTTATAGAGGCATACCCCAAGGGACTTGCAGCTGTAATTGCTGCAAAAGGTGGCTCTACAAAGTATTGACTTTGGGGGGGTGAATAGTTATGCACGCTCAAGTTCTGTTTTTTTGTCTTATTTCTTGTTTGTTTCACCCCAAAAAATATTTTGCATCTTCAAAGTGGTAGGCATGTTGTGTAAATCAAATGATACAAACCCCCCAAAAATCAATTTTAATTCCAGGTTGTAAGGCAACAAAATAGGAAAAATGCCAAGGGGGGTGAATACTTTCGCGAGCCACTGTAACTCCGTGATGTAGCTCAGTTACGGTTACAACACATGTTGCATTTGCGAGGAGTTACAGTCAGTGACCAGTCAGCCTTGCCAGGTGAGGAACCACCGGGGTACAACGCTACAGGGGCCTAAAGTCAATTACAATCACTGTGGTGGTAGCACAATACAGCATTACTGCCCCACTAAAACACAATACAGTCAGCACAACACCAGATTACTGCCAGACTGAAACACAACCAAGCCTGTTCAACTCTATACTCCACACACAGCAAGACACAAATAAGGATATTATGCAGGATGGATTGGATACAGTACTCAGGTTTTTTTCTCCATCAAAAAGGACCATTCTTGAAACACACAGGAAACTGTTGAGCATGAAAAACCCAGCAGCGTTGCAGTTCTTGACACGCTCAAACCGGTGCGCCTGGCACCTACTACCATACCCCGTTTTTTGTCTTGCCCATTCACCCTCTGAATGGCACACATACACAATCCAGTGGATTTAACAGGTGACATCAATAAGGGATCCTAGCTTAAACCTGGATTCACCTGTCATGGAAAGAGCAGGTGTTCCTAATATTTTGTATATGGAAAGAGCAGGTGTTCCTAATATTTTGTACACTCAGTGTAAATCCATGTGGTGATTACAGTTATTCTGCTCACATGGGTAATCATCATTAAGAGTTGCTTGTTATAGTGCTGATTGGAACCATGCATGGCGTGTAACACTGTTAACAGTCAGGACTTGCTCTGTCTCTAACTGAGGATCATGTTTTACAGTGAATAGAAAGAGCAGCACTGCAGAGGGAGTACTGAAAAACGCTTGGATGTAACAACATGGGCCAAACTTGATGTGGTTTCCATATGTTACGAACTGACATTGCCCTTATAGCCCTCTGTGGTTTTCTATAATACATTGATATAGTTCTGATTCCAGATATGTCTGCTTAATGTTAGGTGCACTAAAAGTGGGATTTTTATAGAAACTAGTGATAAGATGTTTCAGCCGACATGTATTTGGCAAATTTACTACAAAATGTGGGAACATCAAACATCGAGCTCCTATAACATATTGGGATGAGCGTTCTCTCTCTACTCTTTGTTCATCCTCACCTTTCTGTGCCTCCTCAAAGCGGTCGTTCTCAGCCAGCCACTGAGCGTAGGGCACATAGACGTCATCTTTAAACTGGGCATGTTTCTCCACCAGAGAGAAGGCCTGGGGGAGACAGGGAAGAAGGGCTCGATCAGATGCCTTACATATAACCAGATTAAATCACTTACAATATTCATTAGGTTTGCTGTATCGTGTGTCTTTATGAGGCAATATGCCCAGGATCCTTACAAATTGTAAGTGATTATTAACACAGGCTTTAAAACATAGACACACATTACTTCATCTAGCCAAAACATGAATACAGCTCATTACTAATGTGATATATTAAGGTTAGCATATTAGACTGATTTCATGTCATGGTCAATTAGTGTGCAGCTGTGGTTGTTTGAGTGACATGCTGTAGTAGAATAGTATGATAGTAGCCTATGGAGGCATACCTGCCTGTCATGTTGATTGATTAACCTAAATGTCCAATAGCAAGACTTTTGTTAATTACACACACTCCTCTTACTATGTGTGTGTGTGTGTGTGTGTGTGTGTGTGTGTGTGTGTGTGTGTGTGTGTGTGTGCGTCACATTATGGTAAAACCCCTCTTCTGCCCTGTCCTCTCAACCTCTGAGTCTAAGCAGGCTAAACCCAGGCCAGGCCCAGGACAAGAGGGAGTGCAGTGAATAGCATTCATATGGCCTACACATAATGTACTGTAAGCTGTGTTCTGTCCTCTCTCAATGTCCACCTCCCCCAGAGAAGGATATAAAACATTGCGGCTAAGCGTGCTTTCTCTCTTTTTCTCATTCTTTCTCTCTCTCTGGATCAAATGAATGGGTGAGAAAGCTCCTCAGACACTGTGCAAGATTCATACAATATGAATGTGATTTAATGTTCTAGTTTTTTGGCATTCTCTCTGTTTCACAGTGGAAATCACCAGTTTGCTCTCAGTTCCACCCATAACTCGATTAAACAATAGACATGGACTTGGGAAATGTAGTATTTTCTTCACGTCTCCCCAGCTAGCGCATAACATTCTGAGAACCATATGTTTCTTAGAGCTTGGTGAGAGCGTGGTTGTCCTATGGTCATTTTGCACACAACCTTCCCACAACATTCTGGGAATGGTGCAGTATAACCAGCATAATGTCTCCTACAGGTTTCCTCATGGCTCTATTTAAAGTAATGTTCTCAAATTGTTCCAAGAACGTTAAAAAAACAACGTTTTCTGTGGGAATTTCAGTACTTCAGCATAATGTTTTCTGCAGGTTTCCTCATGGTTCGATTTAAAGTCACGTTGAACATTCAGAGAACATTAAGATACGTTCGTCTGTGGGAATTTCAGTACTTCAGCATAACGTTTCCTACAGGTTTCCTCATGGTTCCATTTAATGTCATGTTCTCAGAACATTAAGAAAACGTTCCATAAAAAACACAAGAAAACATTAGTAACGTTCAAAGAACGTTCTAAGAATGTTATTTAAAAACATATACATTCCATTCTCAGCGTCACCAAAACTCTCTCTATCCTCTATCTTGTTAAGTGTGTTCAGGAGTGTTGGACACACCCACTAATTGGCCACACCTAAACTTAATGAGCGCTTGTTTCATTTGAAATGGGGTCTGTTTGAATAGACAAAAAATAACAGCTTTGTATGAGTTAAAAAACCTTGGCATGCTAGCTCCATCCTGGTGGCGCACTGGACTAATTCTATCAATAAAGAACAGAAGATCACAGGATCAAATCTCACGGACACCGTGCCAAAATAACAATGTTTTTGCATGACTAATGCCTAACCAAATGAATTTCCATGTGTCCTATCTTAACCCAAACTAAGATAGCTGTGTTATTTAAAGTCTTATTGAAACATATTCTCAGAACATTATTTAATTACATTCAAACAACCTATAATTTCAGTTTTCAGAAAGTTAATAAAAACCTGCCAGGAAAACTTTTAGGGAACCATAGTAAAACATTCCCAGAACCTCCCTGCAACCTAGAAATGTGCATTCCCAGAACAGGCTACATTTTCACTTCCATTCTCAGAACGTTTAAAATACGTATGGCTTTGTTCCCAGAACCAATAGGAAACCAAAAACGTACGTTCCCACAACTTCCAAAGAACCAAATGTGCTAGCTTGGTCTGTAGTATGAGCTAATCTGATGGGGCGGTTGAGTGGAAACAGAAAATAGTTCTTAGCTAAGGCTCTTTAGTGCTTTGGACCGCTGGGTGCTTCTCATATTCTACTCATACTAGGCAGAGATTCAGAGGGAATCTCTAGTTTGGCCGGCAGCTTTGCTCTGGTTTTATAGAACATGGTTTCAGTTTGTATTGTTCCAGTAAATATGTATTAATATGGAGTTGGTCCCCCCTTTGCTGCTATAACAGCCTCCACTCTTCTGGGAAGGCTTTCCACTAGATGTTGGAACATTGCTGCGGGGTCTTGCTGCCATTCAGCCACAAGAGCATTAGTGAGGTCTGGTACTGATGTTGGGCGATTAGGCCTGGCCCGCAGTCTGTGTTCCAATTCATCCCAAAGGTGTTCGATGGGGTTGAGGTCAGGGCTCTGTGCAGGCCAGTCAAGGTCTTCCACACTGAATTTGACAAACCATTTCTGTATGGACCTCACTTTGTGCACAGGGGCATTGTCATGGTGAAACAGGAAAGGGCCTTCCCCAAACTGTTGCCACTGTTGCCTCTGTAGCTCAATTGGTAGAGCATGGCGCTTGTAACGCCAGGGTAGTGGGTTCGATTCCCGGGACCACCCATACGTAAAAATGTATGCACACATGACTGTAAGTCGCTTTGGATAAAAGCGTCTGCTAAATGGCATATTATTATTACTATTATAAAGTTGGAAGCACAGAATCATCTAGAATGTCATTGTATGTTGTAGTGTTAAGATTTCCCTTAACTGGAACTAAGCCTAGCCCGAACCATGAAAAACAGCCCCAGACCATTATTCCTCCACCTAACTTTACAGTTGGCACTATGCATTCGGGCAGGTAGCGTTCTCCTGGCATCCGCCAAACCCAGATTAGTCCATCGGACTGCCAGATGGTGAAGCGTGATTCATCACTCCAGAGAACGCATTTCCACTGCTCCAGAGTCCAATGGTGGCGAGCTTTACACCACTCCAGCCGATGCTTGGCGTTGCGCATGGTGATCTTAGGCTTGTGTGCGGCTGCTCGGCCAAGGAAACCCATTTCATGAAGCTCCCGACGAACAGTTCTTGTGCAGACGTTGCTTCCAGAGGCAGTTTGGAACTTGGTAGTGAGTGTTGTAACTGAGGACAGACGATTTTTACGCGCTACGCACTTCAGCGGTCCCGTTCTGTGAGCTTGTGTGGCCTACCACTTCACGGCTGAGCCATTGTTGCTCCTAGACATTTCCACTTCACAATAACAGCACTTACAGTTGACCGGGGCAGCTCTAGCAGGGCAGACATTTGACGAACTGACTAGTTCTGTCAGCAATGGGTGTGGCTGAAATAGCCAAATCCACTAATTTGAAGGTATGTCCACATACTTTTGGCCATGTAGTGTATGAGGTATACTTTCTGATGAGCCAAGTAAGATACAAAACTGTAACTGTGTCCAACAGGTGTAAGGACCATAAGTGAAATGTGAATGGTTCTGACTGACCTCGTCCCAGTGTCGTGCCTCCACGTGCAGATGCACCAGGGCCTGCAGGTCTCCCATCTTGGAGTAGATCTCAGAGGCGTAGCCATGGTGCTTCAGCTTCTGGAAGTAGGCCGCACACTTAGCCAGGGGCTCGCGCTCCGCCTTATCCAGCTTACGGGCTATGTCAATCAGCCTGTTGGGGGAGTTGAGGAGAGATGAGATCAGATGGAGTGTGAGGTTGTGTGTGTGTGTGTGTGTTCTTGTGTGTAGTATGGGAAGCTGTCAAGCCTGATAAAGCTTAACGGGGCCAACCAGTCTTTCCCTGTGTTTGTTATGCTGGGCCTGCCTTAGCCTAGGTGGTCTGGGCCAGAGTGGAGGTGTGATTGACAAGCAGCAGACACTGGGTCAGAAAGGAGGCCCGTGGGGAGCTCTGATAGGACCACAGAACCCAGCCTTATGTATCTGCCTGCGTCCCAACCACACCCACCCACACCATGACTCACAGGAGGGAAGAAGAGAGGAGAACCAAGAGCTGTGTGTGTATGTGTGTATGTGTGTGTATGTGTGTGTTACCCACATGTCGACCCAGCCGTGTTCTCCTATGATGTCGATGGCCTTGAGGTGTTCTCCTGCAGTCAAGTACATCTGAGCAGCGGCCCGCGGCTCCTTGCTGTTCTTAGCCCAGTCGGCCTGCTTGGACATCAGCATGCGAGTGTTCTTAGGGTCTGCCGCGCCCACAAACTCCTACAGAGGGACAGGAAGAGAGGGAGGGTGGGTGAGATAGAGGGAGTGCGAGACAGACAGGCCCATCTGGGTCAGGGCCTGGAGAGGCGGGACATGGAGTCACATAAACAGGACCAGGGTTCCCCCTCCGGTGTCCTCCAGCGCTAAAACAAACGGCCTTGAGGACCAGATGGCCACACAAATATACAGCAGCCACAAAACACACACACACACATCCACACAGCAGTCAGGACACACACATACACACACAAACACACACATACAGGGGAGGGGAAAGGAGTCAGGCCTGTGTCATCTGCTTCAGTACTGTGACCACTCCACACAAACACACTAAACACGTGTAGATCAGCAGGAAATTACTTCTAAAATAGCAATTTTTTTCGGAGCCTCATGGCAAAATATGTAAAATAGCATGATATTAGCAATAAAACTGCACATTTTTCTCTATGGCAAAAAATTAATAATCCTAAAAATATTCATTTATTTAAATAAAAATGGTGTGTGAATATGTATTGATTGGATGATATATAGGGAGATTCTAGTAATGTATGGGAACATGAAAGATGGGCTGTGGAGGAGGTCTGTCTGAATGTACAGGTTCTATATTTGGCATAAGTACACATGGTGAGGGAAAACACATGTTGGGATCAGCTCTACATGCTCCAGTAGTTTGAACGTGTGTGTGTGTGTGTGTGTGCACAGGTCTCACGTGTTTGAACATACTGTATGTAGAGCCTGTGTGCAATGTGCATGAGTGTGTGGGTGTACAGTATAGGCACATTCAACCATTAATCGAAAGTCTGTGAATGTCTATTAACACTCACCTTTAGCCTTCAGGCATACTTGAGGTTATGAGAGTGCGTGAGTCCATCAGTACTCGTACTCACCTTAGCGTACTCAAACATGCGCAAGTCAGTATACATGCTGAGAGCTCTGGAGTCCAAGCCAGTCCTCTTGTAGAGCCTGGCAGCCTCGTGGAATTTCCCCTGGTAGGCATAGACATCCGCTAGGAACAGCTCACTGTCGCTCTCACCTCTCTTCTTCCTCTCCTGCAAATCCATCAGCATGGACACACATACAGAGAAAGAGATGAGCTAACAAAGTGGAGTCAGTTTCACCCTAGTCTGACACTGCACTATCAGTCCATAGTCTCATGTACACTGAGTGTACAAAACATTAAGAACACCTTCCTAATATTGAGTTGCTGGCCCATGTTGACTCCAATGCTTACCACAGTTGTGTCAAGTTGGCTGGATGTCCTTTGGGTGGTGGACCATTCTTGATACACATGGGAAACTGTTGAGCGTGAAACACCCAGCAGTGTTGCAGTTCTTGACACAAACCGGTGCACCTGGCACCTACTATCATACCCCGTTCAAAGGCGCTTAAATCAGTCAGATGCTGGGCCAGTAATTAAATGTTTAAAAGATATAATGCAGCCGTTTTTAACTTAATATTAACTCATTGCTTGGTGACAATTACGAACCTTACTGTGATTGTTTTCAATGAAAATGATTTTTTTTTAAATAATTTAAGCTTCTTAGCAAAGAGCAATTTCTCAAGCAAGAATTTTGCTAAGACTGTCTGCGAGTGGTCTGAGTGGGGAGGGGAAAACTGAAAACTAGCTGTTATTGGCAGAGAGGTTTGGAACTCTCTTTCTTATTGCTCCATTAACTAATTTACCGCTTGGTGACATCACCAGGCAGGCCAAAATGCCATCCCACCAAAACAGGCTGAAATTTCAGGCGGTCTTTTCAAACAGAGCTTATACTAAAAGGGCATTATCATAATTTTCACAATTTCACAGTATTATTCCAACCTCAGTGTGGAAATATATAAAACACAGGAAAATCACATTTTAGACTGCACTGGGCCTTTAATGAGGGCAACGGGTAATATCCCAACAGTTCCCCTCTGTCTCGCTTTGATGCAGTGGAGTGTATTCATAAATGCCAAGGGAAGCCAGGCTTCCCCAAAAAATGTATTAAGAAAAAAAGGAAAACAATTAATTTTCCTTCAATTCGCAAGAGTCTGAATGTACTGTATCTCACCAGAGAAAGCATCCGAGCGAGCGAAACAGCGCCCCTCTGTCTCTGTATGTGTAGGCCATCTATCTGATGCGGTCTGGTCATAAAGAGTATGACATTGTTGCCGACCGTAGCATTGACCTTAGACCACTGAGTGGCGCAGTGGTCTAAGGCACTGCATCGCAGTGCTAACTGTGCCACTAGAGATCCTGGTTCGAATCCAGGCTCTGTCGCGACCGGGAGACTCATGGGCGGCGCACAATTGGCCCAGCGTCGACCAGGGTAGGGGAGGGAATGGCCGGCAGGGATGTAGCTCAGTTGATAGAGCATGGCGTTTGCAACGCCAGGGTTGTGGGTTCAATTCCCACGGGGGGCCAGTATAAAAAATATATATATATATGTATTCACTAACTGTAAGTCGCTCTGGATAAGAGTGTCTGCTAAATGACTAAAATGTAAATGAATGCAAGGGAAGCCAGTGACCATTTGGCCTCCCTTAATATAAAAGTATAAAATAATAGCTAAACTGAGTGAGCTCAACTGAATGGTCCTGGCGCACCAAAAAAAAGTGTCAAGAGAAGCCAGTTTGGATTTGGCTTCATTCCTATCACAGAGAAATACATAATCGATAGAAACAACTCGAATTGTTGCATCTCGTTGTGTTGTTGTCCTCCGGTGACTAGCTAGCTAGCTACAATTGGCCCTTTCCTAAATTAGCCATGGATGGAGACAGGGATTTGGACATGTGGTTTTACTTAATTCTCCATACTGGCCAATACTGGCCAATAATACATTGTGCCCCTTGACTGAGAGGATGGAAGTTTAATATGTAACTAGATGTAGAAGGCTAATGTTAACTAGCTAATGAAAGGAAAGGAAGTTAGGCTAGCTAACAAGTATTTTAGCCAGGTAAATAAAAAATGTAATAAAAGCGTGTACTGTATGACAGTCATAAACCGTTTCGTCAACATAAAAGAGAGGAGGATGGCATTCATTGGCGTTTCTCTACAAGTAGGGTGAGTCAACATGTTTTTTCAACTTGCACGAACGGACACACACACAAATCAGAACCATGGACAGCCACATCATACTTAGCTTAAGTTGATTGGACTAAATTGTTTTTAGTATCTTTTATAATAATAATAATAATAATATGCCATTTAGCAGACGCTTTTATCCAAAGCGACTTACAGTCATGCGTGCATACAGTTTTGTGTATGGGTGGTCCCGGGGATCGAACCCACTACCTTTGCGTTACAAGCGCTGTGCTCTACCAGCTGAGCTACAGAGGACCACAACTTTTAGTTGTCACTGTATTAGAATAAGCATAGGTGATTTGATGAGGTTGAAGTTGAAATGGTGCTGGAATAGTGGAGGCAGTTCCTGTTTTCTTTGAGACTTGCAGTAACTCTCCGTGGTTCTAAATCAATAGTTGTTTAGTAGTTCAAAAATATCGGAAACACTAACTTGCTTGACCGTGCTGTAGGTCATGTAACTGTTTGTTACATGCAATATGCTTTGTGGACTTCACCGGACAGAGGTTACTCTCCGATTTTGTGATGAAATAAAGGTGAGGTTGAATTTATTCTGCCACTGTGTCTTCTTATTGTCTCGGCCTTAGGCATACAGTATATCAAGGCATATGAACTAACAGGTTATAGCGCAAACAACGCAATAATCACAACACATATGTTGTAATATGGCATTTTTTTCTGGCTTGGCTTTTTACCCACGCACCGCTTACTGCTTTGATGATGTCATGGACATGGACTGGTAAGCCAGTAAATCCATCCTGATTAAAGCTATGTGGTCTGTTCTGTTTTCTAAAGTCACAAACTCTGATCTTGGATTTATACAATTCAGACTAATCCATCATTCATTATTAATTTGAGGGAAGTGTGTCTGTGCCGTTTTGTACCTCAATGCTGTTGATGAGTTCCAGGTAGCGCAGGTCTCGTACTCTGATGAAGGCCTGAGAGAGGAAGAGACACACGGGTAAACAGAATGAGTGGAACTCTTACAGTATCCATAGAATCCGCTCACACCACATCCTTCAGCTGTTCTATCACACTGGTCAAACGAGGATGAGAGAGATTCAACACACCATTAGCGTCAGGCTGCACCATCTAGTGATGGACACTAGCATTGCAGTGGTTCCTGGTTGAAAAAGTGTATGTGTGTGTGTGTGTGTGTGTCTGACCTTCTTAGCGGTGTCAAAGTCGAGCCCCTCTAGGGCTTCCGTGGCCAGATCCCTCCAGTCACTGTCAGTCACACCCAGGCAGGCAATCTGATAGGCCTCCTTGAACATCCTCCTCTCCAGATACTGGTACATCGGAGCCGACTAGGGTGAAGGGAAAGGAAGGGTAAACCAGTCAATTCAACATGCAATTAGAAACACAGAAACTAAACAACGGATAATAAAGCTCAGTTCTTCAAGTATTATTCTTCCTGCCCACCTGAGGCACCTCTACGGCGGACATGGAGTACACGTGCAGGCAGAAGATCTTGGAGCCGTTGTAACCCACCACGAAGCCCTGCAGCTTCTGCTGATGCACTGGGAAGTTACTGGCCTTGATGTTGAGGTAGCCGCTGCCTGAGAAACACAGCATGTCCTCACACTGGGTGTTCCAGGCTACGCTGTTAGCATTGGGCTCCTGGGAAGTAGGGTAGGAAGATCACAGAGAGGGAGGTCAGGGGAAACAGAGGTGAAGGAAAGAAGGAGTGGGACAACAAGGGAGCTGGGTGTTACACTTTACCCCCACAAACATAACCTTTGAACACTAACTTGAAAATGAAGCCACCTCGACCTTGGCCTTAATAACTCTTAACCCCTAACCTCTGACCTGGAAGAGCAGCTCCTTGGTGTGGATGTCATAAACCAGGCAGGTGTTGTGTTCGTCCACCACGGCCAGCTTGCTGCGGGATGTACTCATGTCCAAACAACGCACAGACGTAGACTGCTTCAGCAGAGTGATGGCAAATGGGTTGTCAACAAAGATCTTCAGGATCTGAAGAGAAAATGAATACCAGTTGAGCCCCAGGGTTTCATTGAATTGAGGCACAGGAAATAGCACCTCAATAAGACTAACCTGGATAAATACAGGTAAGTTAGCTAAGAGCTTGTGTGTACTGTATGTCTGTCTGTCACACTCACAGCTCCATTCTTCAGCCCCACCAGTAGACCCTCTCTGCCCGGTGAGCCACCAATCACTTTGATGTAGCGAATCAGAGACTCCATAAGCCACTCCTTCTCCTTGATACTGGTGAAGGACAGACACTGCAGCCTCTTCTCCTACAGGGGCGGGTCAGGGAGGAGACAGTGAGAATTTCCCTGACGACAAACTGAATTCTTCTGCTGCTCTATGTTCGCTACATACTGTACTTCAGTCTGAGACTGCCATCATTGAAGTCATTTGTGGTGATGTCAAAATGAGGGGTGTTGTACAAAACAAAGTCATCAGCAATTGGATCATTTCTAACCAATCAGAGTATCAAAGCCAGTTACGAATTTTCAAAACCCTGCTTTTCCCATGTGTGTTCTAGCTCTGGCCCAACCCATCGGTTTCTGGGACCAATCAGAATGGCTAGAATGTGTTTGCGTTCTAGAAATCATTGGGGAGGTACTCAGATCCAGACTCATTGCGGAAAAGAAACTAACGTCCATGGGCGTGGCGTAGCGTTTGGCCAGAGCAAGGAGTTTGGGTAGCCAGGCAAAGTGAGAATACCACCATGTTAAAACACCGGAACATCAAACACAGACATATCTATTTAGTATATTTTATGCATGGTCTGGCCACTACTGTAATTCATTCATCACTACCATTTTGTCTACTTTTAATAGTTTAGACTTGCTCTTAATATATCCTTCTAATCATACTATCCATATTTTTCATGCTCTGTGAAGATAAAGTCTGATTTGATTTGACACAGACAACCACAGCCCGGTCAGAGGTTAGACAGTCATGACAGAGAAACCATCAGCCTCAGTTGGTGAAGCTGTAGCAGGGCTATTAGAGACAGATCTAAAGCACTTCTGTCACACACACACAGATTTAGGGGGAAATAATACACAGAGTTAACTCTGGACCCCTCCCCTCCTCCTCCTCTCTGTCAAACCACAGAGACACAAACCAGAGAGGAAACCACCAGAGACATCCAGCCAGGTTCCACAGTGCTGTGGTGGTAACCTCTCACTCAGGCTGTCTGACGGCTGAGGAAAAGAGACTAAGTGACAGAGCCCCTAAAGCAGGCGTAGGCAACTAGATTCAGCCGTGGGACGATTTTTGTCAGAGCGGATGGTCGGAAAATAATTATCATAATTTGTACACTGCAAATTGAACACAACTAAGCCCAAACAGAGGTTGTATTGGAAAGTAACAATCATTTCATACCTCGATTACATTGAGACACGATCACATAATGTCTATTTACTTGGGAACAGATTTCCTAAACGTAACACATTTTTAGCTGAATTCATGGTGATTTTACAGTATTTTTTAACAGCAAAAATAAAATCCCACCCAAAAGAAAAAATATATATTAGACTTTTTTTTTAAACCAAAAATGTGGGGGTCCCAATAAAAAAACACTTGCGGGCTGGTTTTTGCCAGCGGGCCACCTGTTGCCACCCCTGCCCTAAAGGAGCACAGATACAGCTGGGGCCTATAATGAGGACAGGAAGAAACATCTGGACGACCACTGGCTCTAACCGTCCATCTCTGGCCTCTCTCTCTGGGGTGTTTTGGAGTAGCGACGCAGCACTAACTGCTAATTCACTGGGTTTCCATCATGATAACAGCATGCTAATGTCTCTCTGCAGGATCTTTCGCAATCTGTCACCGATGCATTAGTGTAATTTACATGAGACGATGTCTCTGCAGGTCAGTGTTATTGAGTCAGGCCAAATAGTTTGTGTTGATATGGCACTTTAGGGAGATGTTTGTTACTGAGTGTTCGAGAAAAGCCTCAAGCCAAAAGCAAATCCCTGGACAACATTTATTAATCAAAGTATTTAGTCTAAATACAAACATTTATGTGAGCAAATACTATGACACAACTACCACTATGGTGTAGATGTGTGTCTGGGGGAAGTAGGGGATAGGGTATGATTTTGGGATTGGGTATAAATCTCACCTGACACAGGATGATGTGCTGGGAGCAGACCACGAGCAGGTTGCACTCAAACCTTCTGCAGATCTTCTCCTTGATGCGGTAGTGCATGTCCGAGGAGTCGTCAGAGTACAGCTCGTAGATGAGGATCTTCTCAGGCAGCTGGATGGCCAGGCGGTTCCTGTAGATAGCGATCTTCTTCACAAGCTCTCTGCACTTGATCCTCACTGGCATGGAGAAAGCACAAAAGTAGGAGGCATAGTTAGAACAGGGCATATAAACCCAGTCCCCTATAGCTCCTTCCTGAATAGACCAGATGGTGGAAGCATAATTGGGGCTGACTCTACATAGCCTTCCAATGGACCACCGTATTGCTTACACCCATCCAGTTCCATCAGATCCGCTAACACTAATAATTAGCTGGTTGATAAGCACAATAAGGTTAGTTACAACTGGGGTTGAAGCGATAAACTACAGGAGGGTAGCTCTCCAGGAACAGGGTTGGAGAGCCCTGGTCTAAATCAATCCACCTTTCTGTTCAGTGATGAGGTGCTGGACGATGACATCGGTCATGCTGTCTCTGTAGGCGTAGCGGTCCTTGTACAGGCCGTGCACCGTGCTGAAGATGAGCTGGAAGAAGGCTATGGTCCCATCCTGGCAGCCCAACACCTAAACAGAGGAGAGGAAATGAGAGAACAATGTAGCAGTGGTTCCCATTAACACTTCCATGAAAAGACAGAGAGACAGGGTGTTCCTTCTTGTTGTTAGAGCCCTGTCTGAGACAATGTGGAGATGTCAGCAAGGTAGCACATTATGCTCTCCCATATGAGTCGTTAGTATTAATATAATTGAAAAGAAAGCTATAGTGATATTACTTCCATGTTCTCTATGGGTGATCACAGATGCTTTTTCCACAAGTTAAAAATAACTGATCTGTGAATGTATCCCAAAGTGATATAATGTTGCATCAACACTTGATCTGACATCTGTAGCGTTATGTCAGTCGCATCTTATAATTTCAGCTCTGCGTTCTTCACAACATGTCTCAGCATCATGTCAGCACTATTTTAAATTACAGTGTTCCAATACAGTTCACTTCAGACACACGCACGTACACTCTCTCTCATACACTCTCACACATTTACTCAAATGTACACATACACGTCACTAAAAGAAACCCACCACATAGTTGGAGTCAGGTTTGACTCTACAGGTCCACACCCAGGAGCTCTGCTCCCCGATGGTGCCGAGCCGCACCCCATCTTTGGTGTAGAGGGAGGCCTGCTTGTCTGATCCGCCCATCACAATGTACTCCCCCTTGGAGAAGTAGCAGACGCAGCAGGGGTCATAGGTCAGAGTTCTGTCCTTCCCAATCTGAGAGAGACAGAGGAACAGATATTGAAATAACAAAGTCTACTTCATATTTATTGACCTTTAACTGGGCTATGAACGTCTAGGCCAAGGATTTCCCCTGACTTGGGGCATGCACCATTTTTTTTACCAGAGCCACACAGTAGTGCATTATATCGGGAATATGGTATCATTTGAGATGTGGTGTCAGCCATTAAAACAACAGGGAAGTTTCTCTCATATTTATGGACCACAGAGTCTGGGCCAAGGCTTTCTCCAGACCCAGACCTCGTAGACACAGCAAAGCCTCCAGTCAGTCCTTAGCCATCCCCTTAAGCGCCTGACCAAAGAGATTGAAAAACACATACACACTTTCTAGCTTCTAAATAGGCTCCATTGTGCTGGCACTTGAAGTGCATTTGCGCAACGTCATATCAGTTCCCCGACTCTGTGCATCTGTTTCTCCTCACCCTGAAAAAGAACCGTCTGACAGTCTATTCTTTTACCCTGAAATAAAACCATTTTGGACAACCTCCCTTTTTTAAATACAAACGACTTCTAGCACGGTAATAAAAACAGCATGTTCACTTAAACTGATAAACAGCCCAGTGACAACACAGGAGACTAAGGTTCCATGAAACAGTGCATATTTGTCTGTAATTACGATATTACCCAGGGGGATATGGGGGAGGAGGAGGAGTAGTGAGGGGATCATTATTAAACGCTGAACAGAATCATTTCCAGTGCAGTGTTACAGTTTCAATAGTCCCTGACAGGCTGATTGCAACAGAAAATACAGGGCTTAAAGGTCTCAGACGGTGGCCTCCTTAAGTGGTTTATGTGTTATCATCACTCATTGCAACAGCGACGTGGATGAGTGATAACACTGAGGCCATTGGGGTTTCGTTGACCAATCACCGGTGCCCACCTGGGAGCACAACCTAAACCATTGTGGTCATAACCTAGACCTCTTGATCTGTATCCAATTCAGTGGTTAGAGTGTCCGTCCTGAGATTGGAAGTTTGGGAGTTCGATCCCCGGGCCAAGTCATCCAAAAGACTGTACAAATGGGACCTAATCCATCTCTGCTTGGCACTCAGCAGAAGATAGATTGGGGGTTGCGATATACTAACGTCCTGTCTAGGGGGTGTACTTGCCTCATGCTCCTGCTCCCATGAGCTGTTTCGGCTCGGACAAGTCAAGACTCATGAAAGGCTACTTACTTGATCTGTATGTAACGACCATGGAATTTGTTGCTGTGCTACACACCGATGTGCTACACAGTAGTTTCTATTAAGCAAAGTTGCTCTTTTCAATATCTTTCACCATTGCATTTTTTTTATATTTTATGTTATGTTTTATTTTATTTTAGACATGTAGCCTATTTATTCATTTGCTGTGGAAACAAACCCAAAATGTTTATCTAACATGTTCCCATTATCCAGATGGGCCGGAAGAAGGCAAAAACATTTATTAAATTGAAGTAAATGTTGGGGAGATGGTTCATGGACATGCTTTTTGCAGACACACACCTGTTTTCCACTGAGCTGATAGAAGGACAGCTTCTGCCCCCAGTCTGCCACAGCCAGGATGTCACTGTGCTCATCCCTAAGAGAGACACTCCAACATGAGTTTATATGTTCCACTTCAACATACTGACAATTAAACAGGATTTAGAAAGATTTCAAATCTTATTCACCCAAAATGTATATTAAACCCTACATCTCACTGGTATGGTAAGAGTAAGTGTCCTGTATCATTGTGTTGCCTCCAACCATATCAATCTAGGCCTAACCAAAGTATTTCCCTGAGTTTTGATGTTACCTTCCTTCATTTCCCTGTCCTCCCTTTCTACCTTCCCTACCTGAGCTGGCTGAAGTGGTCTGGGTCAGAGAACGCTCCCTGCAGCAGGGGCTCTCCCTCCTCTCCTCCAGACCTTTCTGTCTCTGCTCCTCTTCCTGCCTGCCTCTCTCTCTCCAGCTGCCTGCCCAGCCCCAGGACCTCTACCCTGCTACTGCAGCTCTGGCTGTAGGCGGCATCAATGAGCAGGCACAGGGGCTCTGGCATGCTGCTGTCCACATCCACCGCCTCGTCGTCCTCTCCCTCACAGAAGGGCATCCACTTCCACCAGTCCCTGTCAGAGCCTGCCTGGTCAAACACTGACACTTGCTGGCTGTCTACAGGCCATACACTGTCATACTCTGATTTTCACTACCATGCTTGTTTCATATTGTGAACTGGCAGCTTAAAAAGACTCAATACAAAGAAATATCACTCAGAAAAAAAGTTATTATTGTTGATTTCAAAAACAGTAAACCTTTACGCTCAAAGACACAGCACACACAGGTTTTAAAATGTTTTACACAGCAAAAACCCCACATGAGAGGAGAGTGACTCACTTGGAGGGGTTCCATGCGATGGACCAGATAGGAGAGGAGGATCCTCCTGGTCGCTCTATCTTCACCTTCTCCTCTCCGTTCTTATTCCTGATGCTCACCACCCCATTCATCATGCCCAGGGCCAGGTACTGACCGTCGTTGGTCCACCTGCGGTCAAAAGGATTTTGGCAATACTGACCATAAAAGAGGCTATCCAAACAAAAAGGAGATAACAGCAATTTCTCAATACTCACCCACAACATGTTATCTTGCTGCTGACTTTGTGCTTGGATACAGATTTCTGTTCTGGGGACCACAGACCTTGAGAGAGAAACAAATTATACAGATGCTCCTCTTATGACTGGATGTGTTCAACACCCCTTTAACCCCTTCCCTGTAGAGGTATGGAGGACAGGACAAACCCAGTGTACCACTCACCAAAGTCCCCAGAGGAGCAGGAGGCCAGCTGGTGGGTGACTGGGTTGTAGGCAACACACTGGATGGAGTCATTATGTCTGAGGAGCAACAGACAAACAAAACATGTATAGAGAGTGAGCATGGAGTGTCCTCAGCAGAACATAATGCTACTAATAATGTTGTAATGTGTGTAATAAATCACAGAGATCCTATTAAATTATTCTAATTCCTAATTCTATGGTAATAATCATGATCCACTCACGTATATTTCAAAATACCCTCCAGTTTAGATGTCCAGATGATGATGCTTTTGTCAGCAGACCCTGAGGCAAACCGTTTCCCTACAGAGAAGCACAGTGTGAGACCCAACAGACTCGTGTTTGTTTATTGGGAATATCCAGATTGGTGTGTTAATAGTCTACTGTACTAAGTACCATCTTTGGCGTAGGCGACACAGTACACTGTGTCCTTGTGTCCTTTCAGAGGCTGAATTAGAGTTCCATCTGATGTGTCATACACCTAGAAAGACAAGATTAAATACTTATTGTATCCAATTCCACTCTCCTCAACTTCGCTATTATTCTAAAACCAATGGCATCATCATCATCACAAAACTCACCAAAACACGATTCCCAGCTGCCACAATAAGCTGGCTGCCATCTGGTTTGAAGGCAAGGTCGTATATACTAGGGGGAGAATGTACTGCAATCACAATATGCTGAAAACCTGTTTCAATCAATGATACTATGAAGCCATTGCTAGCTGCTCTGCTAGCTAGCATTCATGTTCTAGGTGTACTTAGCTCCGTAAACAGATTACCTAGCTAGCTAGCAACGTTATCACTCGTTAGTAGACAGATAATTTATTTGAAGACTGCATGAAATGGCTAGTGAAAAACAAAGCTAGCTTGCTACAGTTGGCTAGCTAGCTAGCCAGCCAGCCACACTGCGGGAGTTTACATAGTAACCGCCGTTGCTATCAACACTCCCAACTGTGCATCATCAGGCCTGTTGATAAATCTGTAAATGCAAAGGCAGGATATCTTACCATTGTTCAACTTTGTCGCGATCATGTACTTTGTCTATCCACGTAGGAACTGCCCTCATTTTGTCTTTTTAATCGATTAAACAGATACACGTTTGGTTGTTCAACAGGTTGCTGTATTTTCGTGGAGCAGAGGACCGTTCACATGGCAGAATCTACTCTCTTGCTAGTGCGCAGACTCCCTTCTCTCTTTCCTGTCCTCCATCCTGTGTTCTGCGCATGAGTTAAGCAGAATCGCTCACAAACTAGTTCACATAACTTCACACAGCACAGCGGCAGAACTTCACACACTTCACACACTTCACACAGCACAGCGCCAGATACCATCACAGGCTGTGAGAGAGACAGCCCACTTTTGATAAACGTTGTGCTTCAGCTACTGACACCAACAACACCGTCACAACCAGGCTAAATAACACTGACCACAACACAGAGAACACCATCACTGACACACATTAACCCTGATGGAGACACAGACACTATGGCTGTTCCTGGTTCAGATATGGCGGTTAGGAAACAAGCTGGGTCTAATACAGAGATGGCCTGTGAGACTGATCCCATGGCAGCCAGGAGTCAGCTGACCAGACAGGAGGATGAGGAGTCATGCCAGCCTTCTAGAAAGCCACTGGGCTGAGAGATAGTGGTGAGGCAGAGGGAAAGCGGGAAGACTGCAGGCAAAATTGACATCTATATAACAACATTATTCAGATGTTTTCTTCTTCATCATATGCTCTCATTCTCAAGTCTTGTTTCAACATCACTGAAGTGTGTCTGTATCTTACTGTCAGGGCTATGGGCTAAGTGCATTGCAGAGTGAGATCATACAGTCGGATCAAGGATTCCACATGAGGTAACTGATCTGTCTGCCTCTGCAGTCCCCAGGGACAGAGGTTCCGGTCCAGGGCGTCTCTTCAAGCCTTCCTCCTTAAAGATGCCGTAGGGGAGCTACAGATAGACAACTTTGACGTCACCACAGCCAGGAGTGGCAGTGCAGCTGTGAACCCACTGCCCAGCCAGGAGAGACAGAGGAAGGGTCATCAGGAACACACACGTCACACCTCAGAGGTCACCGCTTCCTTGGTGTCAACATCACCAACAAACTACCATGGTCCAGGCACACCAAGACAGTCGTGAAGAGGGCACGACAAAGCCTATTCCCCCTCAGGAGACTGAAAAGATTTGGCATGGGGTCCTCAGATCAACAAAAGGTTATACAGCTGCACCATCGAGAGCATCCTGACTGGTTGCATCACTGCCTGGTATGGCAACTGCTCGGCCTCCGACCGCAAGGCACTACAGAGGGTAGTGCATACGGCCCAGTACATCACTGGGGCCAAGCTTCCTGCCATCCAGGACCTTTATACCAGGCGGTGTCAGAGGAAGGCCCTAAAAATGTTCAAGGACTCCAGCCACCCTAGTCATAGACTGTTCTCTCTGCTACCGCATGGCAAGTGGTACCGGAGCGCCAAGTCTAGGTCCAAAAGGCTTCTTAACAGCTTCTACCCCCAAGCCATAAGACTCCTGAACAGCTAATCATGGCTAACCTGAATATTTGCATTGTCCCCCCCCCCCACCCCCCACCCCCTATTTTACGCTGCTGCTACTCTCTGTTTACATGTACATATTACCTCAATTACCTCGACTAACCTGTGCCCCCTCACATTGACTCTGTACCGGTACCCCCTGTACTGGTACAGTTTTACTGCTGCTCATTTATCTTTATTTTATTTTGGGGGGGGGGGGGGGGGGGGGGGGGGTAGATCACTGCTGCTCTTTAATTATTTTTATTTTTTTACTTATCTATTTTTTACTTAACACTTATTTTTCTTAAAACTGCATTGTTGGTTAAGGGCTTGTAAGTAAGCATTTCACTGTTGTATTCGGTGCATGTGGCAAATACAATTTGATTTGATTTGACAGGCAGGACACAGACAGGCAGGACAGAGGAGAATAAGGGTATAATATTACACCTTCCTCCAAATAACACAAAAAGAGCCTCTTTTGCAAAATCCTACGAGCAGAGAACCAGAGGCAGAGGAAAAGGCACTATGTCAACTTAGCAGACCCCTGACAGGCCTCCATTGGCCAGGGGAATCACAGACAGGCAGCTGGGAGAGGCACAGAAATTGGCCACCATCAGACACCAATGAGGACATTAAAGAGAGAAACATACAAGCCTCTGTGAGAAGGGGTGATGATGATGGTGATGACAATGAGACTGAGGGGCGTCTGCAGGCTGTGTCGGCGGTGCCAGTTGATGATGTCATACTTGAGAAGAGCCCCCAGAGGAGGCCAGGGCTGCTGAGAGAGAAGCTGGTCAGGCTGGCCCCGCCCACTGAGCTACAGGACGCTCTCATTGGTCGAGGAGAGCAGCTTCCTGTGCCACCGTTACTTGTCCCAGTCCTTAGGGTGCAGTCTGCTTCTGAGAGTGAGGGGCAGGCTGAGGGTGAGAGAGTGGGGGAGGGAAAGGGCGTGGGGGATAGAGAGGCAGAGGTTGAATGATGAAGAGCTGCCATCATCTCCCCGGACCACTGGAGGGCGCTGTACACCACTGAAAGATTCCCAGAGCAGTATGTATGTGCATTGTGCTATGAGTTATGATGCATAATGTGCATTTACTATGATGCCTAGATAGAGAAAATGTTTTACATCTTCTTGGACCTAGTTTCAGTGTATTGACCAAGAGAATAACATGTTCAATGTGTGTAGTGATGCCTTAGGTGCCTGTTGTTCCTGTTCTGCACAGAACTATTTGGAGAGAAACGGAAGACCAGTCCTTATGTCAGCGGGAAGTCACTGAGAGATGGTCATAATTTAATAAATGTTTCAGCTTAACAGAACTTGCCATTCTTGGAGAGACATTTCTGTTTAATAAAAAATAGTGTTTCTTTGTTATCAAAACCCCTTTTTCTTATGTCTGGCGTCTGTCCCGACACAGGTCTGAGCTCCCCCAGGAGGAAAGCCTTCAGGAAGTGGACCCCTCTTCGCTCCCCCTTCCAGCTCGTGCAGGAGACCCTGTTCCATGACCCCTGGAAGTTCCTGGTGCCACCATCTTCCTCAACAAGACCAGTAGTGAGACACAAACACACATCTGCAAGGCTCAAACACAGACACACACACACGCACAAGGCTCGACCACACACAGACACTTTTCCAATCATTTTCTAACATCTACAATAAAAACATTGGCATTTTCTCGCACAGTCTCTGTCCTCTCATCCTTTCCAGGTAAGATGGCCATCCCAGTGTTGTGGCAGTCGTTTTAGCATTACCCATCAGCGGAGGAGACCCGGGGGGCCAGAGTGTCTGAGCTGCTGAGGCCCCTCGGCCTGTATGAACTCCAAGCCAAAATCATCATCAGGTTCTCTGGTGAGTCACTGTTCCCATCTCCACCTGTGGATCCTAGAGAGGATGAATGAAGTGTAGAATGCCTGCACAATGATTTCCCTCCTAGAAAGTGAAGTTTTAGTTTGAGTTGAAACGGGGTTGCCAACTAGGGTATCCTATCCTCTCTGCGTTAGAGGTGTGTTTTTATTTACCAGCAGCTGAGAAATAATGGATATGTGCATATCTCCCATGCAGATGAGTAGCTGACCAAGCTGTGGCGCTACCCTATAGAGCTGCATGGGATTGGGATGTACGGCAATGACTCCTACAGGATCTTCTGTGTAGAGGAGTGGAGACAGGTGAGTCCTAGTTCTCATAAGATGCCACAGAATATGTAGGTGAGTTTTAGGATAAATTGTTATGAACAGGAAAATGAGGAAGGTCCACACTCAGTATTTGCAGTGAAAGAAAGGAAAATCTCATAACAGATTACTTTTTGGTCTATGCATCACAAATACGAAAGAATCTACTATTAGATGTGTGTGCAAGGTTTTCAATTTTTCATTTCAGGATGAAATGCAAATATTTTATGCTAAGAAAGAATATTGGATGTAGGTCATGGATTTAGATATGGTTAACTTTGTGTGTACTGTATATGTGCGTGTGTGTCTGTGTGTTTACAGAGGTGAAACCCCAGGACCGTGAGCTGAACAAGTACCATGCCTGGTTGTGGGAGAACCAAGAGAGGTTGGGAATCTGAACTATGAGGAACTGCAATGTCACATTTTATCCCAACCTGTTTTATCAGTGGAAGAATGTTATATTTCTTAATTCATTAGCCTTATAACCTGGCTGACATACCGGTATCTCTCTTGGAAATTATCCAGAAATTAAGCTACTACTGATCCCATCTACTCTCAAGACTCAGTAGTAACATTCCACTGTCTGATCAGTAAAAAAGCAACTGTCACTCAACATGATTGTATTAAATAAATTGTTTAATCATGTTTTAAAAGCCTACTGACTAATTCTATTGAATTGGACTTTGATGTTGAGCCTCTGGAAATGCAACCGATAAATCAATCAAATGTATTTATAAAGCCCTTTTTACATCAACAGATGTCACAAAATGCTTATATAGAAACCCAGCCTAAAACCCCAAAGAGCAAGCAATGCAGATGTAGAAGCACGGTGGTTAGGAAAAACTCTCTAGAAAGGCAGAAACCTAGGAAGGAACCTAGAGAGGAACCAGGCTCTGAGGGGTGTCTAGTCCTCTTCTGGCTGTGCAGGTGGAGTTTATAAGAGTACATGGCCATTAAGGCTAGATTGTTCTTCAAGGTGTTCAAACATTCATAGATGACCAGCAGGGTCAAATAATAATCACAGTGTTATGGAGGGTGCAACAGGTCAGCACCTCAGGAGTAAATGTCAGAGGTTCAGAGGAGGTCGAGGCAGCAGGTGCAGTAGAGAGAGAGAGGGAGGGAAAGAGATGGTCGAAACAGCAGGTCCGGGATAAGGTAGCAGGTCTTGTGAACAGGTCAAGGTTCCATAGCCACAGGCAGAACAGCATAAACTGGATCAGCAGCAGGACCAGGTGGACTGGGGACGGGGACAGCAAGGAGTCGTCAGGCCAGATAGTCCTGGGGCATGGTCCTAGTGCTCAGGTCCTCCGGGAGGGGAGAGAGCGAGAGAGAGAGACGGGAGAATTACAGTGCATTCGGAAAGTATTCAGACCCCTTGAAGATTTCCACATTTTGTTACTTTACAGCCTTGTTCTAAAATTGATTAAATTATATTTTTTCCTCATCAATCTACACACAATACCCCATAATGACAAAGCGAAAACAGGTTTGTAGAATGTTTTGCACATTTATAAAAAGAAAAAACTGAAATACCTTATTTACATAAGTATTCAGACTCTTTGCTATGAGACTCGAAATTGAGCTCAGGTGCATCCTGTTTCAATTGATCATCCTTGAGTTGTTTCTATAACTTGATTAGAGTCCACCTGTGGTAAATTCAATTGATTTTCCCACAGTTGAAAGTGCATGTCAGAGCACAAACCAAGCCATGGAACCATCAATACTCTTCCTAAAGCTGGCCCCCAGCCAAACTGAGCAATCAGGGGAGAAGGACATTGGTCAGGGAGGTGACCAAGAACCTGATGGTCACTCTGACAGAGCTCCAGAGTTCCTCTGTGGAGATGGGAGAACCTTCCAGAAGGACAACCATCTCTGCAGCCCTCCACCAATCAGGCCTTTATGGTAGAGTGGCCAGACGGAAGCCACTCCTCAGTAAAAGGCACGTGACAGCCTGCTTGGAGTTTGCCAAAAGGCACCTAAAGGACTCTCAGACCATGAGAAACAAGATTCTCTGGTCTGATGAAACCAAGATTGAACTCTTTGGCCTGAATGCCAAGCGTCATGTCTGGAGGAAACCTGGCACCATCCCTACGGTGAAGCATGGTGGCAGCATCCTGCTGTGGGGATGTTTTCCAGCGGCAGGGACTGGAAGACTAGTCAGGATCGAGGGAAAGATGAACGGAGCAAAGTAGAAAACCTGCTCCAGAGCGCTCAGGACCTCAGACTGGGGCGAAGGTTCACCTTCCAACAGGACAATGACCCTAAGCAAACAGCCAGGACAATGCAGGAGTGGCTTCGGGACAAGTCTCTGAATGTCCTTGAGTGGCCCAGCCAGAGCCCAGACTTGAACCCGATCGAACATCTCTGGAGAGACCTGAAAATAGCTGTTCGGCGACGCTCCCCATCCAAGCTGACAGAGCTTGAGAGGATCTGCAGAGAAGAATGGGAGAAACTCACCGAATACAGGTGTGTCAAGCTTGTAGCGTCACACCCAAGAAGACTCGAGGCTGTAATTGCTGCCAAAGGTGCTTCAACAAAGTACTGAGTAAAGGGTCTGAATACTTAGGTAAATGTGATATTTCAGTTTTTGCTTTGTCATTATGGGGTATTGTGTGTAGATTGATGAGGATATATTTTTTAAATCCATTTTAGAATAAGGCTGTAATGTAACAAAATGTGGAAAAAGTCAAGGGGTCTGAATACTTTCCGAATGCACTGTAGAGGGAGCATACTTAAGTTCACACAGGACACCAGATAAGACAGGAGAATTTCACCAGATAGGACAGACTGACCCTAGCCCCCCGGCACAGACTATTGCAGCATAGATACTGGAGGCTGAGACAGGGGGGGTCGGGGGACACTGTGGCCCTGTCCGACGATTCCCCCGGACATGGCCAACCAGGCAGGATATAACCCCACCCACTTTGCCAAAGCACAGCCCCCACACCACCAGAGGGATATCAACAGACCACCAACTCACTACCCTGAGACAAGGTGGAGTATAGCCCACCAAGATCTCCCCCACCACACGAGCCCGAGGGGGCGCAAAACCGGACAGGAAGATGACGTCAGTGACTCAACCCACTCAAGTAGAGTATAGTAAAAAAAAGCCTGGCCCCTTTGATAAACCATGTCCCCTTTGTCTACTGGAGATTCATGTGTTCCTGTATTGGGTGTACTGAATAGTCTCCATCTATCTAGCTCTGTACAGCCATGCTCTGACAGTAACTCGTCCAGCCCTTGTTCACATGCTAATAAACTTTCTTCAATAGGGCACCGGTGCATTGAACCATTCTCGGCTCCAGCTTTCTCTCAGTCTGTACACGAGTAACCTGATTCCCAAGGCAACCATTGCCAGACCCAAGTGAGTGCATTTGTTTGTACTATTCCTATTTAAATCCAAGTTATCATAGTCTTGAAAGTAAATATTTGAAAAGGAAGTAGTTTGCATGTTTAATTAAACTTTACTGTTATGAAAAATTACTTATGTTATGACAATGACAGCTGTAAGAAGAGAGCTTAGTAGTGTGAAAGTTGACTGACCCTTTAGAAGTTTTACAATGTACAAGGACTGGACTCCACTGCTGGGGAAACCCAAGGCACAACCCTGTCTACGGAATGAAACTTTGTAAGAAAACAGCTTTGATGTTTTCAATGAATAGTTTACTATCAGTTTGAACTGTGCATGTTTGATTGTTTGAATGTTCAGTGTTTGTACTGTGCATGTTTGATTTATGTTTCTATTCATCACCACAGCTGCTGTTCGCCAGAATTCCACACCTGTCTGACAAAATCGCTACCTTATGGTCACTCCCCTGACATTGCCCATCATCTCACCTGCCTCTGCAGCACTGACAGTCAGCCAGGTGTGCAATGACACTAAGATACAGCAAATGCAAGTGTTTTATTTTAACCTGCCTTTGTGTGAAAGCTTCCTATCTGGCTGGCAATCTTTCCCCAGACAGGACCCCAACCTCCTCTGGTCCGTAGGCGGACATTCAGCCTGGATACCCTTGCTGTGCATCACCACAACCACCAGAGGGCACTGGTCATGCAGAGAAAGGAACACTACAGGGGAGTCTGCCCAGTAGTAAAACATAAGCCCTGATGCCAGTCTGTTTCTGCGTTGTGTGACACTTGGGAGTCTAAAAAACTACATGATACTGATAATATGAAAATGCACATTTCTGCCTAACAATAAATGTTTCTCTGGGGCTTTGTTATCACCAAGTGTCGCAGAAGCCATTCTACGGATCCTGCACTGAGAGAGCAGAGTACAGGTAAAAGCATCCTCTTTCCTTTCCCTCCTAGACCTAGGTGGGCTTCTGTCATATTGTTTATGTATCTCTCCGTCTCTCTGTTTTCCAGGAAGGAGGTATGTGAGCAGCTGAAGAGAAAGATAGAGGAGAAGAGTGCAGGGCTGATGCTGCAGCTACCCTATACCAGGACGGTTGCTGCTCAATATGCAATATGTGACTAGAATTGTAAACCACGCCAACTTTCCGGGACATAGACATGTCTTTTATGGGCAGAAAGCTTAAATTATTGTTAATCTAACTGCAGTGTCCAAGTTACAGTAGCTATTACAGCAAAAAAAACTATTGTTTTGAGGATAGTGCACAACAACAAAACACTTTTGTCACGGCAACTGGTTTGATACATTCACCTCTGAAGGTAAATAATGTACTTACATTCAGTAATCTTGCTCTGATTTGTCATCCTGAGGGTCCCAGATATAAAATGTAGCATAGTTTTGTTTGATAAAATCAATTTTTATATTCAAATGTAGGAACTGGGTTCTACAGTTTCATCCCCCCCCCCAGCCATCTAGATGTGTGAAGGTTAGTGTATTTTCTGTAGGGAAGCTAATGATCCATCATGTATGGCATTCCTGGGAGTGTGTAAACTTAAAATGTTTATTAGCATTTTTGTATGTTCTCTATAGTTATGTACTTGAAAATGTAGAAATTGACCAATTCGGAAAATTTGGGAAAACTCCTGCCAGACTTGATACAAAATATTGTGTAGTACTGTAATTCTTCACTGGATCAGTCTGAAACTTTGCACACACAATGCTGCCATCTTGTGGACAGAATCTAAATTACACCTATATTCCTACATCACTGTCTGGCCTCTCTCTTGCATTTCAAAGATGCAACAAAAGTAATAGAAAACGCATGTTTTTTTGTTTGTATTATCTCTTACCAGATCTAATGTGTTATATTCTCCTACATTAATTTCACATTTCCACAAACTTCAAAGTGTTTCCTTTCAAATGGTCCCAATAATATGCATATCCTTGCTTCAGGTCCTGAGCTACAGGCATGTCATTTTAGGCAAACATTTCAAAAAAGGGTACGATCCTTAAAAGGTGTTAATCTATGGTCTCCATACAACGTCAGTATTTTAGTAATGTCTTCAGCAATGAGCAGCATGAGTTCGAATTCAACTGCTTTCAACAGCATGTCAAAATAAAATGGTAAAATAGGTTATTATAAAGTTAAAATAGAACACTGGAAACTCAGAATTCTTCCTTTTTAATACTAGTCATAATGCAAAGAACTGCAGTTGAAACGTAGGTCTAACACACACTGCTAAGCGTGCTAGATCTAGTAGCTACTCAGGATGAGGGTGGAACAATGTGGAGGGATATGATTGATCAGATATAATTTAGTTGCTTCAACTGCAAATGTTGACACTTCTGATAAAATACACTTCTGTATTTCATTGTACAGCACTCCATATTACCTGGTACTGATCAAACTCAATGTATCACACATATCAAACAGATAAATAAAAATCATCAAAAACAACTATTGCAAAACATGGGTGACATCTTCAATAGGACTGCAGTATTTTACTCTCTCACACACACATTGCTTAGGCAGTAGGTTTAGGGGGTGGTGAAGCAGTAGTGATTATCCTTGTATCCTGGTTGTACAGTTTAAAGGGGAAACAAGCAGCTCTATAAAGTTCAGTCTTCCATGCCAATCAGAGGATAATACATACAGTATCGCCTTTCTCAGATCCTTTTCTCATGCATTCATACAGCAAGAATCTGTCTGTGCAAAAACCCAGATAAATACAGTCATAATAGGAACAGGATTATAAATACAGTGTTTTAACATTGGACGGAATTCAACTGGCGCAACAGGATACATCAGTCCTTTCCTAAACAAGTCCACAAGTCTTCAGTGCTTCAGTGCAAAGACCATCCCATCTCACCCTCCATCTCCCATCACCACGGGAACACCCTCTGTTCCTCAGTAAAAGGTGAAATGATGAACAGGAGATGCTGATGGGGTAAGTGGTGCCTAAGAAGTTTGATTTGCGATTAGTGGAAATGGACAGACATTTACATTTCAGTCATTTAGCAAACGCTCCTATCCAGAGCAACTTACAGGAGCAATTAGGGTTAAGTGCCTTGCTCAAGGGCACCGACAGATTTTTCACCTAGTCGGCTCGAGAATTCAAACCCGCGACCTGGTTTTCAACCATACATCATTTTGGAGCAACATTTTGGCCAGTGGAAGATACAAATGCATAATAACTTGGTAACAATCAGTAGTGGTCTTATCCCCACTCCGTCCCTTTCCTACACCCGAGTCGAGGCAAGAGGCTTGGGTTTTGTCTCCCATATCAGTGCAGACAGACACTCCAGTCTCCTTAGTGTCTCTCAGTGTTTTTGGATCAAGTAGTACCTGCTCTTCTTCTATATTCACTCCATTGAGCTCTCTGATTTGACCTTCCTCTGAGCTCCATGTTCTCTAATTCACCTCCCTCTAACATCTGGAAATGTCATATTCCAGAAGACCCACAATAATCCCAAACCCTTTCAAGGCATCCTTTAGGACCTCTTTTCCCCCACCCTAACCCCTACCACCCCAAAGTAGTACAGTACATCCCTGATTGGCTAGCATTCCTGTAGCCGTCCCGCCCCCTCTGAGTCTTTGTCGCTCGCATTGTCTTGCACTCAATGAGTTCCTTCCTCTTTCCTGTATCCCTGGCTTCTGATAGGCTAGCGTCCCTTCAGGAAGCCGTCCAGCATGCGATCGCCCTTCTCTGACAGCCAGTATCCGGCCATGGCGGCCACACCCCCGATGAAAATGGCGGTGAAGACCATGTCGCCCTTAGCGGCAAGCGTTGCTAGGGCACAGATGACCACGCCAAAGAACATCTGCTGCAGGACCAGGACCTCGTCATCAGTCATGTCATCAAACAGACCCTTCTCTGGACCACCTGATGGGGAGGGGGGGGGGGGGAGAGAGAGAGAGATGCTGTGGAGTGTGCCAAGTAGAGAGAACTATCAAGTGTGTGCGCACGCGTCTTACTGTGAGGCTGGTTCTCCACACAGATGCTGTCCCTGCGGATGAAGCCATCAGCACATTCACAGCGGAAGGAGCCCTCCTCATTGAAACATGCCTCATTCAGCCCTGGACACGCTATCGCCCTCTCACTACACTCATCGACATCTAGGAGGGAGCGAGAGAAGATGGACAGAGTGACACCCATACCAAGAGGGAGACAGATGTATACTACAAGTAGTCAGACTGCTTTAACAAAAGATTCATCTGATTGGCCAAACCATCTATACACTAGTAAAGAGAACCACACAGACACAAATTAAAACACAGCCGGGTTCCCTCACCAAGACATTTGGCTCCTCTGAGCTTGTATCCCCTAGCACATTTCTTACAGCGGGCAGGACCACTGCCCATACAGCCCACACATGCCTGGTCACAGCCTGGCACAGAGGAGAGAGAACAGAGGTTAGGGTCAGAACACAGGTCTACCAACAACACAAACAGTCATTACTCTGTTACTAGCAGATAGTTGAGGGAGAGCCTACTAAAGTACCTCTGCACTCGTACGATCCATCTGTGTTGTGGCAATATGTGTTGGAGGGACATCGAGCCAGCTCTGTGCCACACTCATCAGTGTCTGGAAACAACATGCACAACAGGAGTTAAACACTGTAGTAGGGATTTTCAAGGTGAATAAAAGGAGGGGGGCAATGCAAATAGTCTGGGTAGCCATTTTATTAGATATTCAGGAGTCTTATAGCTTGGGGGTAGAAGCTGTTTTGAAGCCTCTTGGACCTAGCCCCAGGTACCGCTTGCTGTGCGGTAGCAGAGAGAACAGTCTATGACTAGGGTGGCTGGAGTCTTTGACAATTTTTAGGGACTTCCTATGACACCGCCTGGTATAGAGGTCCTGGATGGCAGGAAGCTTGGCCCCAGTGATGTACTGGGCCATACACACTACCCTCTGTAGTGCCTTGCGGTCGGAGGTCGAACAGTTGCCATACCTTTGTAGTCTGTAATAGTTTACAAGCCCTGCCACATCCAACGAGCGTCGGAGCCGGTGTAGTACGATTCGATCTTAGTCCTGTATTGATGCTTTGCCTGTTCGATGGTTTGTCGGAGGGCATAGCGGGATTTCTTATGAGCTTCCCGCTCCTTGAAAGTGGCAGCTCTACCCTTTAGCTCAGTGTGGATGTTGCCTGTAATCCATGGCTTCTGGTTGGGGTATGTGCGTACAGTCACTGTGGGGACGACGTCATCGATGCACTTATTGATGAAGCCAGTGACTGATTTGGTGTACTCAATGCCATCGGAAGAATCCCGGAACATATTCCAGTCTGTGCTAGCAAAACAGTCCTGTAGCTAAGCATCTGCTTCATCTGACCACTTTTTTATTGACCGAGTCACTGGTGCTTCCTGCTTTAGTTTTTGCTTATAAGCAGGAATCAGGAGGATAGAATTATGGTCAGATTTGCCAAATGGAGGGCGAGGGAGAGCTTTGTGTGTGGTGAGCTCTGTGTGTGGGGTAAAGGTGGTCTAGAGTTTTTTTCCCCTCTGGTTGCACATTTAACATGCTGGTAGAAATGAGGTAAAACGGATTTAAGTTTCCCTGCATTAAAGTCCCCGGCCACTAGGAGCGCCGCCTCTGGATGAGCGTTTTCCTGTTTGCTTATGGCCGTATACAGTTCATTGAGTGCGGTCTTAGCGCCAGCATCGGTTTGTGGTGGTAAATAGACAACCCGGTGGTAAATAGACAGCTACGAAGAATATAGATGAAAACTCTCTTGGTAGATAGTGTGGTCTACAGCTTATCATGAGATACTCTACCACAGGCGAGTGTCACAAAGCATTGTGTTAATTATTCTTAACTGAATATGAACTTTATTCATCTTAAATTTCCCCATTACAAACACAGATACAGAGTAAGAAAACTAACGGAAGACACGCGCTCTCTCAAATACACATACAAAGGCCAAATACTCACCAACACACTTGTTGTCATGGAGGATCCACCCAGGTTTGCAGTCCACACATTTGTAGTCCTCTGGCCCTGAGCATTTTTTACAGGAGTGGTAGCACGCTACAGACATCACACACAGAGGATAAATTATTGGTCTGTGAACCTTCTATATGAGATTGGTTGATGATCAGACAGGCAAAACTGTTTCTAATGGGTACCTGCACAGGCTGGTGTGCTGTGATTGGAGCTCTTCTCTCTGTAGTAGCCGTCTGCACAGCTCTGACACAGCTGACCAAAGTACCCCGGATCACACACGCACTCTCCATCTCCCAGACGTGTGCCCTCTCCCTCACAGCGACCCAGACCACCACACACACCTCCAGGACCAGACAGACACTCTGCAGCACAACAACACACAGGGTTAATAACGTGACAACAGAGAGAGAACTATAGAGAGAACTATCGTGTGTTTGTGTGTGTGTGTTCAGTACCTTTGCAGTCTGGTCCAAACCGTCCCGGGGGACAGCAGAGTCGGAGTTCCTCTATACACAGCCAGTCAAATAGATCTGGAGCCTCCTGCTGCCTACACACAGAGACAATCACAAGGTCAGTAATGAGAGGGGAAGGACACACACACACACACACACAAACAATATAATACACAGGTGTGTAAATACAACAGTAAAAAAAATACTGGTTATACATGCAATACATGTACCACATTTACATGATCATCAGATACACACACACATACCGGTGGAACCACCATGTCTCCACTTGGTCCTCTATCTGCTCCAGCAGTTTGTTACAGTCAAAGTCAGATTTCTCACATGCTGCCTCCACTATCTCCAGCAGCCTGGTCTCACTGAGAACGAGGAGGAGAGGATACGTGAGTAATGTAGAACACTTCACTAGAGAACAGAGAAAACAAATACACCCTCCTATTCTCCATTATGCACTCTAGGAGGATCTCAGACACACACTCACTCACAAAGTGTGGCCTAGTTTTGAGAGGCTGTCATACTGTGTAAGGACATAGGGGGTGTAGAGCCCTAGTCTTGTCAGTACTGTTCTGGTTCAGCATTGCCTTGGCTCAGTCATGAGGAGTCCGATGCATGGGCCCCGTGTAGCTCAGTTGGTAGAGCATGGCGCTTGCAAGGCCAGGGTTGTGGGTTCGTATCCCACGGGGGGCCAGTATGAAAATGTATGCACTCACTAACTGTAAGTCGCTCTGGATAAGAGCGTCTGCTAAATGACTAAAATGTAAATGTAATGTCAGAGGCATCAGGTAACAAGCCTTTATAGCGACACAATAAAGGTGCATTGGCCATTCAACAACATGCTAAGGCTTGTCAGGGATTAGCCGGCCTTGTGGACTTGCCTCTACGTAAACACAGATGTTAGACTGCAGGTCCTAAAGACTGCAGGTCCCAAATTTGTGGAGATTCTAGTGACAGGCCTAGTGGGGCCATAAGTACCTGCGAGCATATTTAGCCAGCTTCTCCTCCTCCCAAGCAGTGTTCCCACCCCCAAAGTTTTTATTGGATGTTTTCTCCAGGCCCTGGGGAAAACAAAAAAACAAAGACCACCAGGTTTAGCCAGAAACAGAACAGCAAGAAGAGTAAAAAGGCAGCTACTGACCGAGACAGAAGCAGATACAAATATGACAATATGACCGACAAACTAATCAACAGACTGAGGGAATGGGAATGAGCGAGAGAAAGAGAGAGACTCCTACCTTGATGAAGCTGTCAGTGAGTTTGCGGCAGGTCTGACATGGTGCAGTCTGTACTCGTACCACAGACAGCACAGAGAAGAGCACCAGGGCAGGGAGCAGGGGCCACGACCACCACATGGCTTGGACTACGTACCACTCAGCCACTGAGGACAGAGACAGGGGATTCAGATAGAGTAGGATCAAGTTGTCCCTAACTACTGATACACAGTCAGATATTTCTTCATAACAGTGGTTATGGTCACGGTTTGTCACTGTATCTTTCAATCAACTTAGTCATTTATCATACTTTGAGAACTGCAGTGTATCATGCTGGACAGCAGGATTAAATGTCTGTGAAAAGAGGATGAGTTATATCAGTGTTTCATTAAATAATGCAGAGCCACTGACTTCCTGTATCTCTCACATAGTCATAATGTTTATTGCCAAATCCAAACCTAGTTGGATCCTGTTAAGGATAAGCCTAATGATGATTATGCTCCTTTGCCTCTGCTCCCTGGCAAAAAAACATAGCTAGTTCAATTCTTAGCTAGCTAGGTATGGAGCTCACTAACATTGTTGCCTTGACTGAGCTATCTAGGCTGTGGTCCAAAGAAGATCATCATCATTCTGAATAGCATCTTCAGAATCATTCAGACTGGCTAGTGTGGTCAGCTAACGTTAGCTAGCTACTGTACGGTCCCGATGGCAAATCAGGTAACCCTCCATCAGGTCAGTACAAGTAATATGACATGATTATCCATCTCAAACGTCATCAAAACAACCTCTGCTGGCTATTTCTTCTTGTCTATAGCTACATTGCATGGCAGCAAATTGACTGTGCTAATTAGTTAGCTAGCCAGCTAACGCACTGTTATGGCAATTCAGCTAGCTATCTAGCTGGATTGCTAATGTTAGCTACCCAGCTAACGCTAGCTAGCTTCCAATAAATTATGCTGCACTGCATCCTACCTTCAGCTTGCTACAAACTCTCAGCAGCTTGTAGGCAATAGACTGGAGCGTCCTCAGCACCTTAATACAATTCCACGGTCTTTCACCAGTTTAGTTCTTCAACCGTGCCATTCATTGACCAGCCACTTTATTTAGTTTTCTGCCCGGTGCTGATGCAGTGGTTCTAGTCGCTTCTTCTTCCCAGACTCTTTTTAGCGGAGCCGCAGCTGGCAGGATACCGCCCAATCCCACTGGGACTTCAGTCTTCAACCAATCATTACCTGCCGAGTACGAAGAAGGGCTTGTCTTGTTCTTAAAGAACATGAATAGGTCATTTGCCCTGATAGACTTTGTCAGACAGCAAAATCATTCAAGATTAGAATCACTGCAAATAAAAAATGTGTAACATATCAACATTGTCAACAAACGCACAGTACAAAAATTACACAGAAAAATGAATCAAACCACTGTAGACCTATTACTGATGATGGATAGCCCAGTCACGACATAGTACTGCACCACAACATAATACACAAATATATAACATTTTATACAATTAACCAACCACTTAGTAAAAAAAAAACGTTTACAAATTAACCATATCACATTTTGAAACGAAGATAACGGTTGAGTAGAACAATGTCACCCATTTACATTTCAGGGATGAACACCAAATCAAATCACACTTTATTGGTCCCATACACATATTTTGCAGATGTTATCGCAGGTGCAGTGAAATGTTTATGTTTCTAGCTCCAACAGTGCAGTATACCTAACAATACAAAACAATACACACAAATCCCCCCCCCTTTTCCAACAGTCTTGAAGGAGTTCCCACATATGCTGAGTACCTGTTGGCTGCTTTTCCTTCACTCTGAGGTCCAACTCATCCCAAACCATCTCAATTGGGTTGAGGTCCGGTGATTGTGGAGACCAGGTCATCTGATGCAGCACTCCATCACTCTCCTTCTTGGTCAAATAGCCCTTACACAGCCTGTATGTGTGTTGGGTCATTGTCCTGTTGAAAAACAAATGATAGTCCCACTAAGCGCAAGCCAGATGGGATGGCGTATCGCTGCAGAATGCTGTGGTAGCCATGCTGGTTAAGTGTGCCTTGAATTCTAAATAAATCACAGACAGTGTCACCAGCAAAGCACCCCCACACCATCACACCTCCTCCTCCATGCTTCACGGTGGGAACCACACATGCGGAGATAATCCGTTCACCTACTCTGCGTCTCACAAAGACACGGCGGTTGGAACCAAAAATCTCAAATCTTTACTCATCAGACCAAACGACAGATTTCAACCAGTCTAATGTCCATTGCTCCTGTTTCTTGGCCCAAGCAAGTCTCTTCTTCTTATTGGTGTCCTTTAGTAGTGGTTCCTTTGCAGCAATTCGACCATGAAGGCCTGATTCACGCAGTCTCATCTGAACAGTTGATGTTGAGATGGGTCTGTTACTTGAACTCTGTGAAGCATTTATTTGGTCTGCAATTTCTGAGGCTGCTAACGCTAATGAACTTATCCTCTGCAGCAGAGGTAACTCTGGGACTTCCTTTCCTGTGGCGGTTGTCACGACTTCGGCCGAGGCTGCCTCCCCTCCTTGTTCGGGTAGGCTTCGGCGTTCGTCGTCACCGGAGTACTAACCACTGCCGCCCCAATCATCATCACAATTGTCTTGTCAATCACACACACCTGCTTCTAATCCCCTAATTAGTCTGTGTATAAGTGTTCCCTCTGCCCCCTTGTCCTTGTGGGTGATTGTTAATTGTGAGAGTATGTAGCTCGGTGGAGTTACTCATAACATTGTGTTGCCAGGGTAGATTTTCCCCCTGTGCCTATGTATTATTGGATTCCGTTACAGTGTAATTGCCAGGGATGTTTGTTTCCCCTGTGCCTGTTTCGTTGATCGCTATTGGAGCACATTTGTGTGTCAACAAAATAATAAACTCTGTATTCGGTGATTACCCTCCTGCGCCTGACTCCTTTCACCACACTCACCACAGCGGTCCTCATGAGAGCCAGTTTCATCATAGCGCTTGATGGTTTTTGCGACTGCACTTGAAGAAACGTTCAATGTTCTTGAAATTTTCCGGATTTACTGACCTTCATGTCTTAAAGTAATGATGGACTGTCATTTCTCTTTGCTTATTTGAGCTGTTCTTGCCATAATATGGGCTTGGTCTTTTACCAAATAGGTCTATCTTCTGTATACCACCCCTACCTTGTCACACAACTAATTGGCTCAAACGCATTAAGAAGAAAATAAATTCCACAAATTAACAAGGCACACCTGTTTATTGAAATGCATTCCAGGTGACTACCTCATGAAGCTGGTTGAGAGAATGCCAAGAGTGTGCAAAGCTGTCATCAAGGCAAAGGGTGGCTACTTTGAAGAATCTCAAATATAAAATATATATACTATTTTTTGTGTTATTTCATATTTATGATGTCTTCACTATTATTCTACATTGTAGAAAATTGTAAAAATAAAGAAAAACCCTTGCATGAGTAGGAGTGTCCAAACTTTTGACTGGTACTGTATATATATATATATTATAATGGTGGGTATAGTTGGGAGAGTTATATTTGGGTTGTGGTGAGGGAGGCCCCGCTCTCTCCTTTCCCAGATGTTTAGTTCATTTCATTCCGATCTCCTTTGCATTATTGTAGCCATTTTCTGCAGCCTGTCAACAATGCCTCTGTCTATCCCTGTTCTCCCCTCTCCGCACAGGCTATACAAACGCCTCACACCGCGTGGCTGCTGCCTCTCTAACCTGGTGGTCCCTGCACGCACCACCCACGTGGAGTTCCAGGTCTCAGGCAGCCTCTGGAACTGCCGTTCTGCTGCCAACAAGGCAGAGTTCATCTCAGCCTATGCTACCCTCCAGTCCCTCGACTTCTTGGTGCTGACGGAAACATGGATTACCACTGAAAACACTGCTACTCCTACTGCTCTCTCCTCGTCTGACCATGTGTTCTCGCATACCCCGAGAGCATCTGGTCAGCGGGGTGGTGGCACAGGAATCCTCATCTCTCCCAAATGGACATTCTCTATTTTTCCCCTGACCCATCTGTCTATCTCCTCATTTGAATTCCATGCTGTCACAGTCACTAGCCCATTTAAGCTTAATATCCTTGTCATCTATCGCCCTCCAGGTTCCCTTGGAGAGTTCATCAATGAGCTTGACGCCTTGATAAGTTCCTTTCCTGAGGATGGCTCACCCCTCACAGTTCTGGGGGACTTCAACCTCCCTACGTCTACCTTTGACTCATTTCTCTCTGCCTCCTTCTTTCCACTCCTCTCCTCTTTTGACCTCACCCTCTCACCATCCCCCCCTACTCACAAGAAAGGCAATACGCTTGACCTCATCTTTACTAGATGCTGTTCTTCTACTAATCTCACTGCAACTCCCCTCCATGTCTCCGACCACTACTTTGTATCCTTTTCTCTCTCGCTCTCCTCCAACACTACTCACTCTGCCCCTACTCAGATGGTAATGCGCCGTCGCAACCTTCGCTCTCTCTCTTCCGCTACTCTCTCCTCTTCCATCCTATCATCTCTTCCCTCTGCTCAATCCTTCTCCCTACAATCTCCTGATTCTGCCTCCTCAACCCTCCTCTCCTCCCTTTCTGCATCCTTTGACTCTCTATGTCCCCTATCCTCCCGGCCGGCTCGGTCCTCCCCTCCAGCTCCGTGGCTTGATGACTCATTGCGAGCTCACAGAACAGGGCTCCGGGCAGCCGAGCGGAAATGGAGGAAAACTAGACTCCCTGCGGACCTGGCATCTTTTCACTCCCTCCTCTCTACATTTTCTTCATCTGTTTCTGCTGCTAAGGCCACTTTCTACCACTCTAAATTCCAAGCATCTGCCTCTAACCCTAGGAAGCTCTTTGCCACCTTCTCCTCCCTGCTGAATCCTCCTCCCCCTCCCCCTCTCCTCCCTCTCTGTGGATGACTTCGTCAACCATTTTGAAAAGAAGGTTGACGACATCCAATCCTCGTTTGTTAAGTCAAATGACACTGCTGGTCCTGCTCACACTGCCCTACCCTATGCTTTGACTTCTTTCTCCCCTCTCTCTCCAGATAAAAAAATAATGTATGTGCTAACTGTAAGTCGCTCTGGATAAGAGCGTCTGCTAAATGACTAAAATGTAAATGTAAATGTAATAAAATCTTGCGACTTGTGACGGCCGGCCGCCCAACAACCTGCCCGCTTGACCCTATCCCCTCCTCTCTTCTCCAGACCATCTCCGGTGACCTTCTCCCTTACCTCATCTCGCTGATCAACTCATCCTTGACCGCTGGCTATGTCCCTTCCGTCTTCAAGAGAGCGAGAGTTGCACGCCTTCTCAAAAAACCAACACTCGATCCCTCTGATGTCAACAACTACAGACCAGTATCCCTTCTTTCTTTTCTCTCCAAAACTATTGAGCGTGCCGTCTTTAGCCAACTCTCTTGCTATCTCTCTCAGAATGACCTTCTTGATCCAAACCAGTCAGGTTTCAAGACTGGTCATTCAACTGAGACTGCTCTTCTCTGTGTCACGGAGGCTCTCCGCACTGCTAAAGCTAACTCTCTCTCCTCTGCTCTTGTCCTTCTAGACCTGTCTGCTGCCTTTGACACTGTGAACCATCAGATCCTCCTCTCCACCCTCTCCGAGCTGGGCATCTCCGGCGCGGCTCACTCTTGGATTGCGTCCTACCTGACCGGTCGCTCCTACCAAGTGGCGTGGCGAGAAGCTGTCTCCGCACCACGCGCTCTCACTACTGGTGTCCCCCAGGGCTCAGTTCTAGGCCCTCTCCTATTCTCGCTATACACCAAGTCATATCCTCACATGGCCTCTCCTATCATTGCTACGCAGACTACACACAACTAATCTTCTCCTTTCCCCCTTCTGATAACCAGGTGGCGAATCGCATCTCTGCATGTCTGGCAGACATATCAGTATGGATGACGGATCACCACCTCAAGCTGAACCTCCCGGGGAAGGACTGCCCGTTCCATGATCTCGCCATCACGGTTGACAACTCCGTTGTGTCCTCCTCACAGAGTGCGAAGAGCCTTGGCGTGACCCTGGACAACACCCTGTCGTTCTCCGCTAACATCAAGGCGGTGACCCGATCCTGTAGGTTCATGCTCTACAACATTCGGAGAGTACGACCCTGCCTTACACAGGAAGCAGCACAGGTCCTAATCCAGGCACTTGTCATCTCCCGTCTGGATTACTGCAACTCGCTGTTGGCTGGGCTCCCTGCCTGTGCCATTAAACCCCTACAACTCATCCAGAATGCCGCAGCCCGTCTGGTGTTCAACCTTCCCAAGTTCTCTCACGTCACCCCGCTCCTCCGCACACTACACTGGCTTCCAGTTGAAGCTCGCATCTGCTACAAGACCATGGTGCTTGCCTACGGAGCTGTGAGGGGAACGGCACCTCCGTACCTTCAGGCTCTGATCAGTCCCTACACCCAAACGAGGGCATTGCGTTCATCCACCTCTGGCCTGCTGGCTCCCCTACCTCTGCTGAAGCACAGTTCCCGCTCAGCCCAGTCAAAACTGTTCGCTGCTCTGGCACCCCAATGGTGGAACAAGCTCCCTCACCACGCCAGGACAGCAGAGTCACTCACCACCTTCCGGAGACATTTGAAACCCCACCTCTTTAAGGAACACCTGGGATAGGATAAAGTAATCCTTCTAACCCCTCCCTTACCCCACCAAAAAATAAAATAAAAATAAATAATAATAATTGTAAAGTGGTTATCCCACTGGCTATAAGGTGAATGCACCAATTTGTAAGTCGCTCTGGATAAGAGTGTCTGCTAAATGACGTAAATGTAAATGTAATGTAAATGTATAGACAGTATAGACAGTATATGAATAGGAAAGGTGTGTACAGCAGTAGTTATATAGGGTGCGCCTTGATTAGAATACAGTATATACATGTGAAGTGGATAAAACAGTAAGTAAACATTATTAAAGTGACCAGTGTTCAATGACTGTGTACAGTGCCTTCGGAAAGTATTCAGACCCCTTGACTTTTTCCACATTTTGTTAGGTTACAGCCTTATTCTAAAATTGATTCAATAGTTTTTTTCCCTCATCAATCTACACACAATACCCCATAATGTCAAAGCAAAAACAGGTTTCTAGAAATGTTTACCAAAAAAATAAAATATCAAATTTACATAAGTATTCAGACCCTTTACTTTGTTGAAGCACCTTTGGCAGCAATTACAGCCTCGAGTCTTCTTGGGTATAACGCTACAAGCTTGGCACACCTGTACTGTGGGAGTTTCTCCCATTCTTCTCTGCAGATCCTCTCAAGCTCTGTCAGGTTGGATGGGGAGTGTTGCTGCACAGCTATTTTCAGGTCTCTCCAGAGGTTCGATCAGGTTAAAGTCCGGGCTCTGGCTGGGCCACTCAAGGACATTCAGAGGCTTTGTGCTTAGGGTCGTTGTCCTGTAGGAAGGTGAACCTTCGCCCCAGTCTGAGGTCCTGAGCGCTCTGGAGCAGGTTTTCATCAAGGTTCTCTCTGTACTTTGCTCCATTCATCTTTCCCTCGATCCTGACTAGTCTCTCAGTCACTGCCACTGAAAAACATCCCCACACCATGATGCTGCTACCACCATGCTTCACCGTAGGGATGGTGCCAGGTTTCCTCCGGACGTGACGCTTGGCATTCAGGCCAAAGAGTTCAATCTTGGTTTCATCAGACCAGAGAATCTTGTTTCTCATGGTCTGAGAGTCTTTAGGTGCCTTTTGGCAAACTGATGATAGAGGCCACTGTGTTCTTGGGGACCTTCAATGCTGCAGAAATGTTTTGGTGCCCTTCCCCAGATCTGTGCCACAACACAATCCTGTCTCGGAGGTCTACGGACAATTCCTTCGACCTCATGGCTTGGTTTTTGCTCTGACATGCACTGTCAACTGTGGGACCTTATATAGACAGGTGTATGCCTTTCGAAATCATGTCCGATCAATTGAATTTACCACAGGTGGACTCCAATCAAGTTGTAGAAACATCTCAAGGATGATCAATGGAAACCGGATGCACCTGAGCTCAATTTTGAGTCTCATAGCAAAGGGTCTGAATACTTTGTAAATAAGGGATTTCTGTTTCTAAAAACCTGTTTTCGCTTGGTCATTATGGGGTTTTGTGTGTAGATTGCTGAGGATTATTTTAAAAAAAAAATCCATTTTAGATTAAGGCTGTAACGTAACAAAATGTGGAAAAAGTAAGGGGTCTGAATACTTACCGAAGGCACTGTACAAAGGGCAGCATTCTCTAAACTGGAGTTGACAGTAGTTTTTCAGGAGCACAAAAGTGAATCATTTACAATATTAAGAGGTCATGCTCTACTTTGGACAGTAGCTCTAAAAGTGCATGAGATACAGTTTCAAGCCACCATCTCCTGAAGCCCTAATGACCATTATCTGATTATAGTATGTCAGTGCCACAGTTAGCATCCTGCGCAACAGGCCCCTGGTTCCTACCCAGCCTCTCCTGCCTTCTTAGACCCAGTCCACCCCGTTGGTCTTGGGGCAGGTGTCAGGGCTGGATGGTGGGGTGGTGAGACACAGCTGCAGAGGCACAGACTCCCAGGGGTCCTCAACCCCTGCACCAACACAGTCCTGGGGCAGCCCGGCCAGCCGTAACACTGCCGAACCCCCCACAAACCCTCTCAGCCCCCCAGCCAGAGTCTGTGAGGCTGCCCTGAGTCCCCCTGCCCGCCTCCGTCGCCCTGATGCTGCCCCCCTACCTCGCCCCAAAGCCAGTTCAGTCAGGAAGCCCAGGCTCTGGGAGGGGAGGCTGAAGAGCGGTAGCCCCCTGAAGAGCTCAGGCAGGGGGCGGCTGCCGCCGCCGGGAGGCAGAGATTCAAACTGCACGAGGGTGAAGCGTTCGCCGGCGCGGCCCTGCAGGTAGTCCGCCAGAATGCAGCTGAGCGAGGCACTGAAGACATCTGAATACGGAGATCGACACCCCACCCTTGACTCCCCATCCTCGTCACACCCCCTCCCCCGGAATGTATCCCTCTCCCAACCCCGGCTGCCCCACTCCTCAGCCCTCTCCCAGGCTGCCTGGGTGAGCACCAGCACCACTTTTCCCCCCTGTCTCTGCAGGCAGTCAAGCCGGGAGTGGAGCCATGGAACTGGTCCCAGGACACTGAGCTCGGCCCGGCTCCACAGGTCTAGAGACACACTGAAGCCCAGAGAGGAGAGGGACAAGCCCAGACGACACACCAGCCCTAGCACAGCCTGATCACTGTCAGGAGGGTACAGCAACACGATGTGGCCACCTCCTACTGCACCTGAGAGAGAGAGAGAAAGAGCGAAAGAGAAAGAGAGAGAGAGAAAGAGAGAGAGAGAAAGAAGAGAGAAAGAGAAAGAGAGAGAGAGAAAGAGAGAGAGAGAAAGAGAGCGAGAAAAAGAGAGAAAGAGAGAGGGTAGAGAAAAGTGAGGGAGAGGGGGAAGGACAAAAAGAGAGGAGCGGTAGAGGGAATGAGATCAAGGGAGAGAGAGAGAAAAAAGGGATAGAGAGAGGATGCTTATTCTTCTGAAGCATGAAGAAAGAATATAATTGGACTCAGCTATAATTGGAGACAGTGAATTGTGAGGGAATGTTTTAAAGGCTTATCTTACCTTTTATGTCCTCATCTTTCAACCATCTCCACACGTATCCTGTGGGGGAGATAAAAAGTGCAAGAATTACGATGAGGCGTGTGTGCTATAGTGTCCTAGCCTCAGTGCCAACCTGAGAAATTTGCTTCACACTCTCGAAAATGTCAGGCTGGCACCCAGGCTAGTAGTATTATATTCAAATATACAGTAGTTAATACATTTAGTGATTAGATAGCCTCAGAGATAGCTAATAATATTATTAATATATAGCTGCATCACTAACCTTTGAGAGCACCATGTATGATGTAGGCCCCAAGTATTGCCAAACAGATTAGTAGCAGCCCTATCAGGAGAGTCAGGCTCCATCGGTTCCGTGGTGCTATAGGGGAAGTCAGTCTGATTATATACAGCTGTGGATCAATGCCTCATAATCCATGATTGTGTCCATTATTTCTGCCAAATAAAATTGAGCTAATTGAGCACTAATCTCTATGTTGCACATTATAGAGACACAGATTAACCAATGAGCTAACCTGTTAATAATCCAGTAAATTTCACTCTTAGTGAAAAGGGTTCCAAAAGGGTTCTTCGCCTTTCCCCATCGGATAACCATTTTTTGTTCCAGGTAGAATCCTTTTTGGTTCCAGGTAGAACCCTTTTGGGTTCCATGTAGAACCCTCTGTGAAAAGGGTTCTACCTGCAACCAAAAGGGTTCTACCTGGAACCAAAATGGATTCTGCAAAGGGTTCTCATATGGGGACAGTAAAATAACCCTTTTAGGTTCTAGATAGCACCTTTTTTTCTAAGAGTGTTGGTCAGTTGCATTAATGAATTGATGACCATTTAACCAATCCTTAGTACAGTCAAATAGAGCATATAACGTGTTTAGAACTATAGGTAAATCTTATAAAATGTAACATATTGACCCTCAGGGGTGAAATGCGTACTTGCAAATGGACATAAGGGATCCCGCTTTGTATCCATCCCCTGTACTTTCATCTAGACAACAGGAAGCAGTGCAGTGTCAGCCATAAACACTTACAGTACTGCATTTCAAAGTAAGTACAGGCTCACAATTTCATTCATACAGTGCACACTGCCCACAGGTCAGTGGAGAAGTGTTTACCTGGACACACAAAGCAGGATGGGGGTTCACATTGATGAACTCTCCTCTTTTCTGAAAAAAAAACAACAACAACAGAAACACAACAGTCATGTTCAGTAAGGTCCTCAGTAAGGTCAAAGGTGAAGGGTAAGTTGACCTCACACGATTGGCCTTACCCAGTATCCGTGGAGAGTGGGCAACCACCCGGCATGTGTGTGGTTGTGCATTCTCTGCCTGGAGCCCTTCAACTCCTCGCAATGCCCCCCCGCTGAGCCCCTTCTGCATAGCCACAGTTCTCCCTCCAGACGACAGGGGGCAGTCACGTTCCAACTCAGCACCGTGCCGTTCCCTGCGTTCGTCTGAGCCTCCTCCACTGACACAGACACGTTGTTGTCCCACATTCTTTTGAAATGCTCTGAGAGAGGAATGGAGGCATTTGGGTGTTAGAATAACAAATGTCCAGAGTCATGAGTTCTGCGGTAGGGAAGGAATCTGATTGGCCCCCTTACCTTTGTTGTTCATGAAGGGGCAGATCTCTCTGTGTAGATTCTGTCCCTTCCACCAAACCTGTTGTAAAGCAACATACAAGGAATGTGCACATGTGACTCCTGCATGACAATGATCATGAATCTTCAATTCAGCATTGGAAACAAGTTGTTCCTCAGATTCGGTATGCTGAGCTGCAGAAAAATCAAGCAATGTTTACCTGAAAGCACAGACAGGGCGCTATAGACCTCAAAGGAATGCTCATCTCTCTCTGGCTCTGAAAGAAGAAGAAAGGACGTGAGAAAGAGAAGGTGACAGTGAGTAAGGAGGTCACAGCTTCACCTTATACAAATGTGTGCTTTACAAGCTAATGATGATAGTATTCTTTAGACATACTGACCCACGTCTGGTATCTGCAAGGCTCTCCAGGCCCGAACATCTGGCACATGCCCATCTCACTGGTCGGTGTCTTGTCAGAACTGTCCAGTTGGAGCATAGCCACACCTCTCTTCTTATCAATCACAGCTCGGAGCTTGGGCACTGAGACATATATCGAATGTCAGTCAATCAGGGGTTTAAAGGTTTAAACTAAAGCAGGTACAGTATAATACGATGGGGATGCAGGGTTGCATTTAAAATTATAGTGACTCACCATCACATTCTTTCACAACACCATCTAGGTCTGGGGAACAAACTAAGCGATAGAGAGGGGGAGAGAGAGAGAGAGAGAAAGAGAGAGAGAGAGAGAGTGAGAGCGAGAGAGAGAGTGGTAGTCAAAATACATGATCTGAGGAATGTATGTCTATCAGTAACGTCTTTATAGTACAGCTGTGGTATAGTGGTATAAACTATGCCTCTTACCATCTTCTAAGGAGGGGATAGTGGTGGTAACTGAGGTAGATAATGCGAGGATGTTGACTGGACTGCCATATTGTATTGGCTCCGGCTCCAACAATAAGGACAGCCACAGCTACAGAAGTCAAACATATTACATTACCTATTACATCCTAGGCTATGTTCTGTCCACTAAACAACCCTAGCAGTGCCCAAAGTTACCGAAAAGAACCGTAACATTTTTAATAGACAACAGTTTAATGACAGGCGATAAAGGGAATGTGTACCTCGGGAGGGTGCTGGTCCCACAGAGCTGAATGGATCAATGTAAATGTCACTTCTTTGCAGCGATTCAAAATGCTTGGGTAGCTGTAACACACTGTTACAGAAGCTGCTGGAACACACACAGTAGGAGAGACAACAGAGCAAGTTATCTACCATGAGAAAGTGCAAAAGACACAGGAACAGTCAACCACAAGTTTAGATTTAGTGACTTTCATTTATTTTACTTGACCGACTGGAACGCCCAAGGAGTGTGTGTGTGTGGGTGTGTTTTCTCTCTTTTGACACACTCTTTTTGATTACCTGTTGGGCTGGGTGGCATCCCCAGGAGACTCCCTTCTCTTAATTCCTTCTGCTTAGAGCTGTCATCTTCGTCACGGTAGTCACCAGACACTTCCTGGTCCTCATGCTTATCTGGGACAGCAGAAACAGCAACAACATGTAATGTGATGAAAACAGCAGAAACAGCAACAACATGTCATGTGCTGAGAACAGCAGAAACAGCAACAACATGTTATGTGCTGAGAACAGCAGCAACAGAAAAAAACATGTTATGTGCTGAGAACAGCAACAACATGTAATGTGCTGAAAACAGCAGAAACAGCAACAACATGTAATGTGCTGAGAACAGCAACAACAGCAACAACATGTAATGTGCTGAGAACAGCAACAACATGTAATGTGCTGAGAATCCCCAGGAGACTCCCTTCTCTTAATTCCTTCTGCTTAGAGCTGTCATCTTCGTCACGGTAGTCACCAGACACTTCCTGGTCCTCATGCTTATCTGGGACAGCAGAAACAGCAACAACATGTAATGTGATGAAAACAGCAGAAACAGCAACAACATGTCATGTGCTGAGAACAGCAGAAACAGCAACAACATGTTATGTGCTGAGAACAGCAGCAACAGAAAAAAACATGTTATGTGCTGAGAACAGCAACAACATGTAATGTGCTGAAAACAGCAACAACATGTAATGTGCTGAGAACAGCAGCAACAGCAACAACATGTAATGTGCTGAGAACAGCAGAAACAGCAACAACATGTAATGTGCTGAGAACAGCAGAAACAGCAACAACATTTAATGTGCTGAGAACAGCAGAAACAGCAACAACATGTAATGTGCTGAGAACAGCAGAAACAGCAACAAGATGTTATGTGCTGAGAACAGCAGAAACAGCAACAACATGTAATGTGCTGAGAACAGCAGAAACAGCAACAACATGTAATGTGCTGAGAACAGCAGAAACAGCAACAACATGTAATGTGCTGAGAACAGCAGAAACAGCAACAACATGTAATGTGCTGAGAACAGCAGAAACAGCAACAACAAATGAGAACAGCAAAGAGCTAAGAATAAACTCCAAAAGCCCCAGACCACAACCTATCAATACAATCCTGCTGTAGGTATGCCATGCTCATGTCCCAGACACGCAAAAGTCCCAGGCACAGTGTCGTCCTGTTGGAGTTAAGGTTAGTCGTGTAGTTAGGGATAGTGGGGTATGGGCTAAAGACTGTGGAATAGCATCCAGACATCACAGTTTCCTATAATGATAGTGTCTGCTGCAGCTGAATGGTTGAAGCCATTGGGCTACCTTTGATTATGAAGTAGACCATGACTCGCAGGCAGGGTTTGCAGTATTGACCGTTGGTGCAACACAGAAACACGCTGAGCTCCAGCCGCCTAACTTTCACACGACCCTTCATGCCAGGAAGGGCAACATCTAAGATGCAGAAAGGACAGAGAAATAGATGGAGAGAGAGAGAGAGAGAGAGAGAGACAAAGGGAGGTGGAAGGGTTAACCTATCACAATGTCATGATAAGTCTTCTAACATATTTTGGTTTATGATGGACTATACATGATGCATTGTATGGTCTCACCTTTTACACTGCAGTCAGTCAGGCCCTAAGGACAGAGCACAGAGATAGTGATTTCCTACAACATACCAGACCAGACACTACATAGATACATAGCAATACTTCCATTTAATATACGTGGCACATGTTCTTCCATTTAACTGCTCTAACTGTAACACAACTACCCTAGAGGTCAAATCTCACTACCTTGCTCCCAGAACCGTATCCTTGGAAATGGTCAACAGCAGTGGAGATGGAAAACTCAAGCCCTAGGATTGGGTGTCATGCTCTGGCCTGGTCATGAATACGTAATGAGCATTAAAACTCTGATGTGTCTGTGTGTGCTACAGTACAGACTGAGCTACACCGCATCTGTCAATCAAAACATGAATCTGCTCACTCAAACTGATCAAGTGTTTAACCAGCGCTGACTTAACGTGCATACAGTGCATTCTGAAAATATTCAGACCCCTTCCCTTTTTCCACATTTTGTTACATTACAGCCTTATTCTAAAATTGATTAAATAAATGCAAATCCTCATCAATCTACAAACAATACCCCATAATGACCAAGCGAAAACAGGTTTTTAGAAATGTTTTGGGGGAAAAATAATTACAAAAAAATACCTTATTTACATAAGTATTCAGACCCTTTGCTATGAGACTCAAAATTGAGCTCAGGTGCATCCGGTTTCCATTGATCATCCTTGAGATGTTTCTACAACTTGATTGGAGTCCACCTGTGGTAAATTCAATTGATTGGATAGGATTTGGAAAGGCACACACCTGTCTGTATAAGGTCCCACAGTTGACAGTACATGTCAGAGCATAAACCAAACCATGAGGTCGAACTAATTGTCCGTAGAGCTCCGAGACAGGATTGTGTCAAGGCACAGATCTGGGGAAGGGTACCAAAACATTTCTGCAGCATTGAAGGTCCCCAAGAACACAGTGGCCTCCATCATTCTTAAATGGAAGAAGTTTGGAACCACCAAGACTCTTCCTAGAGCTGGCCGCCTGGCCAAATTGAGTAATTGGGGGAGAAGGGCCTTGGTCAGGGAGGTGACCAAGAACCTGATGGTCACTCTGACAGAGCTCCAGACTTCCTCTGTGCAGATGAGATAACCTTCCAGAAGGACAACCATCTCTGCAGCACTCCACCAATCAGGCCTTTATGGTAGAGTGGCCAGACGGAAGCCACTCCTCAGTAAAAGGCACGACAGTCCGCTTGGAGGCACCTAAAGGACTCTCAGACCATGAGAAACAAGATTCTCTTGTCTGATGAAACCAAGATTGAACTCTTTGTCCTGAATGCCAAGCTTCACGTCTGGAGGAAACATGGCACCATCCCTACGGTGGAGCATGTTGGTGGCAGCATCATGCTGTGTGGATGTTTTTCAGCGGCAGGGACTGGGAGACTAGTCATTATCGAGGGAAAGATGAACGGAGAAAAGTACTAGAGAGATCGTTGATGAAAACCTGCTCCAGAGTGCTCAGGACCTAAGACTGGGGCGAAGGTTCACCTTCCAACAGGACAACGACCCTAAGCACACAGCCAAGACAACGCAGGAGTGGTTTCGGGACAAGTCTCTGAATGTCCTTGAGTGGCCCAGCCAGAGCCCGGACTTGAAACCGATCGAACATCTCTGGAGAGACCTGAAACTAGCTGTGCAGCGAAGCTCCCCATCCAACCTGGCAGCTTGAGAGGATCTGCAGAGAAGAATGGGAGAAAATCTCCAAATACAGGTGTGCCAAGCTTGTAGCTTCATACCCAAGAAGACTCAAGGCTGTAATCGCTGCCAAAAGTGCTTCAACTAAGTACTGAGTGAAGGGTCTGAATACTTATGTAAATGTTATATTTCCGTTTTTATTTTTGTAATTTTTTGCAAAAAAATCTAAAAACCTGTTTTTGCTTTGTCATTATGGGGTATTTACATTTACATTTTAGTCATTTAGCAGACGCTCTTATCCAGAGCGACTTACAGTTAGTGAATACATATTTTTTTTATACTGGCCCCCCGTGGGAATCGAACCCACAACCCTGGCATTGCAAACGCCATGCTCTATCAACTGAGCTACATCCCTGCCGGCCATTCCCTCCCCTACCCTGGACGACGCTGGGCCAATTGTGCGCCGCCCATGAGTCTCCCGGTCCCGCACAGTTAGCACTGCTATGCAGTGCCTTAGACCACTGCGCCACTCAGGAGTATAGGTATTGTGTGTAGATTGATGAGAAACTATTTTTTGTAATCAATTTTAGAATAAGGCTGTAATGTAACAAAAATTCAAGGGGTCTGAATACTTTCCGAATGCACTGTATGCCAGACTAGATCAGGAATTTAGTTTCCTCAGAGAGAGTTGCAGCTACTCTAGTTGTGATGTTTTCTTTCTGAAAGCCTCCTGCTATATAAGACAAATGGCTGTGCATGGTGCGTGCAAGTGAACTAAAGCTTGTCTGTGTGGTTGGTTTTTGCACGTGTCCTCCACGTATGACAGCTTACGTTCCACCCCACCCACTCATACAAACACATACACAGCCCACATTCATTTGCATGTGGTAAAGAAAGCAACACAGGTGTGTACATGCACATCCCAGCACACACACACACACACACACACATGCACACGCATACATATTTTATCACACCAGGCTGACCAGAGTACACAAAATAAATAGGGTGGTACAGGTGGGATTCTCATAAGCAGTTATAATCAAACATTTTTGTAGTACATTGGAAACTACAGGCCAAAACATTCCATGACCCCATCCAGCATCATCAGAGAACAATCTGAGTATATTGAGTTACAAGTCATAATGCTAAAACTATACAACCATACGGTAACGCTTCATTTTAAGGAGTCCTTATTACAGCGTAAATACATATGTAATTACACTAAAACAAGTATTGTAGTTCATTGTAATAACTCATAGTTACACTGTAATAACAACATGTAACTAGTGGTAATTGCAGTCTGTAATTACAGAGGTGTAACAACAAATACTTGTTACCATGCTAGTTACAAATGTTAAAGTTTCCGATAGCATCCCATCTCACCATATTGGTCAGTGCTATTGGATCCTTGGGACGTCCTTACTCTAAAGCCTAACCCTAACCTTAACCCCTACCCTTACCCTGACCTTAACCTTAACCCTTAACTTAACCATTTTAAATGTCAACTTCAATGGGGTAGGGACATCCCAAGGATACTTACCAATCATACTTTTATGCAATAGCAGCTATACCTTTTCAGTATGTAGTCTAAATACAGTACTTGCAATATTACCTTTATAATTGAAATCATTTAAAAAATCAATAAACAATTTAAGATAATGTAACAGGCCTAATGTTAATTTGCTCCTTCTTTTACCTGGTCGCAGGTGAGTCGATGTGTGCCATCTATCATCTCTAGCGTACCTGCAGATGGGGACCTTAGCTGCAGCAGTAACAGTAGGACAAAGTGAGTACAAGGGAACAGGCGAGCCATTGTCACTTCAACACCCTGGACAGCGCTTCTGCGTCCAGGTCCAGGCCTTTCTGTGCCTGCGCCCTGTCCGGAAAGTCTGTCTCGAAAAGTGAAGGTAGTTGTGCAGATCACACTGATTCCAACATCATTACCGAGAGGCAAGATAATTATACTCGTCACATCCCAACATTTACTGGCAGTCCCCCAAAGGCACAGTGTTTCTCAGTGAGGTCTTCTGCAAGGTAAACACTGGCAATTTCCTGGGCACTGAAACGGAACCTGCCGAAGATCCTGGACTGCTGGAACCACGTAGGCTAAACAGGACCCAACCTGGCTGAGAGAGAGAGAGAGGGAGGAGGGTGGTAAGTTAATCAATTGCAAGCTGAAGTAGGCTATTAAAACATTAAGCAGGCTATATTTCTGTATTGAATAAGATACATTTCTCAAGCACAGAACGAACTAATAACTGTGTGTAATTCATATATTAATGCAGAGCGACTTATTCATATTTCAATTTCAAAAGTGAACTTCAATTTTACTTACCGTTGGGTGTGTGGACATGCACCTGTTGTATCAGGTAGATCAACAGTTGTCTAGCTAGTGACACGGGTGCTCTGTGACACTAAATCCAATCTCCTGAAAATATCACAAATGGCATTCTATGAATGTAGAGTGAGTGTGTGACAGTCAGGAGGACGACAGAGGGGAGGTGTGTTTACCTGAAAGGGTGGCTCAATTGCACTGAATGGAGTTGCCAGTTAGATTTCTTGCCATTTAGCTTTTTTAGTAAACCATGACAGTCCAGTGTGTCTGAAAATTATGCTTATACGGATTCTGCTGCTTTCCATAGGTACATAAATTACTGAAGTTCAGTTACAGTAGGCTAACCCCCTAAGGTTGATGTCCGCGCCCCTGAGGAAATATACAACATGTCTCATGACTCCTGCGTGCATTGTTGACTATGACCTTGCTTCTTTACCCGCCCATGGGACAGACTATGTATGTTCCCACACTCGGGACTTGGACTCCCATCCTATTCTAACCACCTCTCGCCGGCTTTGTATTCATGTTACCTGATGAAATTGCTGTACAATATGATCTTGTTGCCATCTGATGCACATTCAAATGTCATAAAAAATTAACACTGCAGAGCTCTCCCTTTCCTCTGCCGTGCCCTGATTGTATTACTGCTGATGATATCTGGAAATGTGCATGTACACCCTGGCCCATCTACTGTTGCTAGCCCCAATTCTGACTTGTGCTCTGATATCTGCTTCACTGATTTCTGCTCTCGTAAAAGCCTGGGCTTTCTGCACGCTAACACAAGAAGCTTATTACCTAAAATTGATCAATTGAAAGTCTGGGTTCACAGCTCCAATCCAGATGTGTTGGTCATTACTGAGACATGGTTAAGAAAAAGTGTTTTGAACACTGATATTAACCTTTCTGGTTATAACCTTTTTCGGCAAGACAGATCTTCCAAACGTGGTGGAGTAGCAATCTTTACCAAGGAACACCTTCAGTGCTCGGTTGTCTCCACCAAGTCTGTCCCCATACAATTTGATTTGCTGGTTTTAAGCATTAAACTTTCAAACAGCCCTTTGTTGACTGTTGCTGGGTGTTATCATCCACCATCAGCACCGGCCTGTACCCTACCTGCCCTAAGCTCTCTCCTGGCCCCTTACACTAAATCTGAATTTGTCCTGCTAGGTGACCTAAACTGGGACATGCTTAAACCACCTGACCAAGTCCTAAAGCAATGGGACTCCCTAAATCTTTCTCAGATGATTACCAATCCCACAAGGTATGACTCCAAACACCCAGAAAAGGCTACTCTCCTTGATGTTATCCTCACAAATAATCCTGATAGGTATCAGTCTGGTGTTTTCTGTAATGACCTTAGTGATCACTGTTTTACAGCCTGTGTTCGTACTGGCTACTCAGTAAAACGACCTGTCCTGATTTGTCATAGACACTTGCTAAAAACGTTAATGAGCAAGCCTTCCAAAGGGTGGCTATTTGAAGAATCTCAAATATAAAATATATTTTGATTTGTTTAACACTTTTTTGGTTACTACTTGATTCCATATGTGTTATTTCATAGTTTTGATGTCTTCACTATTATTGTACAATGTAGAAAATAGTAAAAAATTAAGAAAAACCCTTGAATGAGTAGGTGTTCTAAAACATTTGACCGGTAGTGTATATATGGAGACTGTTTAGTGCCAAAAATAAGGGGTTAAATACATGTTTGAAAAAACAATCGGTTGTTCCATGTAGTAGAATCTGTTATTCATTGTGTTTGTATGGGCTAATAGCAGTAAGGCCCCACCCTCCCCGGCTTAGACAGGGCTAAATTCCTTGGAATCGTATGCCGTTTTTGCTAAATTCCTTGGAATCGTATGCTGTTTTCACTAAATTCCTTGGAATCGTATGCTGTTTTCACTGGAATTACCCACCTTAGTGACTCAGCCTATTGCATTTGCAGGTTATAGTAGCCTATCTTGTTAATGATTCACATAGTGCCATTGATCCACAGACTGTCTCCAACTGGGACAATAACATTTAAAGGGATAGTTCGCGATTTTGGCAATGAAGCCCTTTATCTACTTCAGATGAACTCATGGATACCAGTTTTATGTCTCTGCATGCAGTTTGAAGGTTGCTAGCATTAGTGCAATGACAATGAAGTCTATGGGAGCAGCTAGCATGCTAGCTGTTCCTGTAGAATTCCAGTCATTGCGCTAATGGTAGTTAGCATTGGCTCATGAAGCCACCTCTTACTTCCTTCATAATGGACACAGATACATAAAAATGTATCCACGAGTTCATCTGACTCTGGGGAAGTAGATAAAAGGCTTCGTTACCAAAGTTCCGAAGTATCCCTTTAATAAGTGGTTGTCACAGCCTGGTCTCATAGACTAGACGTAACATAGTAAACGTCAATCCGGGACAGTACTTGCATTTTAGCTAACCCTTCCCTAACCCTTTTAGCCAACCCTTCCCTTAACCCTAACCTTAACTATTTTAGCTAACCCTTCCCCTAACCTTAACCTTTAACCTAACTCCTAAACTTAACCCTAAATTTGTAACATATTATACGAAATGGGTGACGGACATCCAAAAATTAATACATACCATACAAAATGTAACATATCATACTAAATGGAGTGTCTCGGATTTAAGTACAGAATAATACGAAATTATTACGAAGTTATTCATTATTAAATCACCACCTCACTACGGCCATTCCAGTGTAGACCCCCTGCGAATTGTTCCCTATATTCCAATTTTACATATTTTTTGAATGAAAGTCTTATCAGCCTGAAATGAAACAATGTTATATTTTCTTTCTCCATAAGAGCTTAACCATTAACCAGTGACCTGAGATTGGCATGAGAGGTGAACTGAGGTAAATACCTAAAGTAGGCAATCATTATTCCATAGCCACTCTCTGGGCAGGCTGTCAGGTTTCATGCTTTATGGTCTAATCTCAGGAATTCATTGGCACAGACACACACACACACACAGATGTTATGATTATTTTGCATTAGTTTGTTTCACACATCTGGAAAATGATGAAACAGACTTAGTTTCTTAGTTAGCTTGTTGACTAAGCCGAGGTATGAATGAGAGGGTTAGATGTAGGTTAGAGATGGGCTATGCCAGGTACAGTATGTACTCTATCGCATACATACAGTAGTTTCTCTATTTTTTTCACCTGATCAGTCCTGGTAAGTCTGGCGTGTTGTTTTACAACATCAACGCCAACATTTACTGATAACATCACTCAGTTGTGTCGGGTTGTTCTGAGTTCAGTTTAATGGAGAGAACCTATCATCATGCACCTGCAATGTTGACGAACATTAAATAGGCAGCTTTTCCACACAGATGCCTGAGGGAATAATGTTGATGTATGTTTGCTTAGCTGGTGTCAGAAAGATAAGCATGATGGACTTTAAGACAAACTTACCATAGATAATACATAGAACAAAAATGTCTATAGAAAGCATAAATGCAGAAGATCTTTTTATGAGGCCAACAGCTAATATCAAAGTGAAAGATATTTACAAAATAATACACATTTTTACAATTTTACAAAAGAGCATTTCAAAATGTATGCAACATGCACTCATAAGCCCACACACACTGGTAGAATGGTAGATAGGGTAAACGCATAAAAATTTGTTCTGAATACAGATCATTTTAAAGGGGGCAATCTGCAGTTCAAACAATAACAAAGCATTACCCCGCCACTGTTTCAGTAAACAGCTGAGGGATGGGGCTAAAGAAATGTAACCACTCTCAAATTCCTAAACAAAGCTATGGATGCATGGGCTGACCATCCATGACATCACAATTATAGTTTGAACCATGTTTTGAGGCTAGGTTATACAGTGTTTGTTTACAATAACATTTTTTATAAATAGTGGAGTAAAACAAGCATATATTTTGGTTTCTGATGGGGTATGCCAGTTGAACTAAGCTCATGAGGCCTTATTAAGTTATATTCTTCAAGAATCAAATAATTAATTTATACGTCCAAAAATGTATGTAGCAACGGCATATTGCCCCTTTAGACTTGAATGAAAACTACTCTGCCTCTGTTAACTGTTTATTTATAAACATGACCTACTACTCAAAAGCCTGGCTAGAAAAAATGTGTGTTATGACAAAAGGTTCCAGATGCTTTGCATACAGTTCACTGACTTTGTGGGAGTATGGAATGTGAGTCGTTGGTGATATTTGAATAATACTGGTTCACTGCCAATCTGAAGGGGCTTACTAACAGTAGTTTAATACTAAAGAACTGTAGCTCAGTTGGTAAAGCATGGTGCTTGCAATGCCAGGATAGGGGGTTTGATTCCTTGGACCACCTGTAGGTAAAATGTATGCACGCATGACTGTAAGCTGCTTTGGATAAAAGTGTCTGCTAATTTCATTATATTAAAATTATAAAGGTCAGGCTTTGATACTATAGCAGGCTCTATGTCTGTACTCTGTGTGTCCAGTGAGTAAAT